TAAAGAAAGTGATGGTATGGCAAATTTATTCCATCGAAATGTCCAGACTTGAGTCATATAAAGCGAGAGTGGGAACGCAAAAGAACTAAATTAAGTTACAAATAGTAAATACAAGAACAAGAGCGTGCACAAAACGGGAGCGAGTTTGGAGCGTAAGAGTGACACCCGTCAAAAAGGGTTGTATGACTTAGGTCAAGACGATTTCTAGCAGACAAGTTTGCCTGTAATATCATTGTTCTTTTGAGAAAGTTCCTAATTGCTATTTTGTGCAATAGTGAGATGTGCAAGGATATACCGGCCACCGGAGAGGTGGTTTACTTGATTTTGATTTTGGAAATGAAACTCCATTTAGATTCGAGGTTTAATTTTTGCTAAAGAAGAAAATATTTTTTTTAAGTGTTCGCGTTTATAATGATCTTAATCAATTGAGATCATGAAAGGCAAAATTTTACTTATAAATGAAAATTTATTTGATATATATATGTATATAAGTAGTGTTCAATTACTCTCTGGTGAGTAGGGAACAATATATTCACTTTTACCCATAGTCTAAGAATCTAATCCAACGGCTAATTGAAACAATAATTATTTTAGGTAATTGTCTTTCTTTTAATTAGCCATTAATTATGAAATGACTATATTGGATATTTTTTTAAAAAAAATAATAATAATTTTTTTAATTTGATTAAACTTTAATTATGTCTCTTTCCACCACTGTCGGTCCGTCACCACCACCCAACTACCCCCCCAACCACACCACAACACTGCCACCTCCATCACCACCATGCTGCCACCTACCACCACCACATACACCAATAATTATAAGGATGTGAATTTAAAGATGTATTCTTGATCATGATAAGTTTTTTTTATAAGGTTCTTGTGACTTTCTCATGATAATTATGATTAATGATGGGATCTAGATGCAAGCCCTTAAAGTTGTAAATTTGGTAATTCTTTGTCAAAAGTAGCAATCAAATCTGTTTGGGTGGAGGTGGTGTGGTGTAGGTGTGGTGGTTTTGTAGCAGTGGTGGTGGCGATGTGATAGTGGTGGAGGTAGTGGCGGGGTAGAGGTGACAGTGGTGGTAGGGTGATGACAATTCATGGTTAAATATTTTTTTTCTTTAAAAATGTATTTAATATAGTCATTTCATAATTAATGACTAATTAAAAAAATGTTAATTTTCTAAAATAATTATTTTCTCCCGTAGCGGTTGGATTAGATCCTAAAACTATTAGTAAAAGTGAATATATTGCTCTTCCTCACCAGAGAGCATAAAATTTTGCTATATTTAATATTCCTACCGTATAATCAAACTTACTTAATTGAATAAACAATTTATTTATTTAATTGGTTATCAAATGACTTATGAAGCCAATTGATAGAGGTAACTTGTGAAAGCAGGATTTGGGGTATGGATTATTTAGGTCAGTGTACACACACATATTCAACGTTTGGGAATACATCCAATTTAAAGTCAAGATCTCTACAGAGTCCAATATCATATTTAAGGTAGTCTAAAATGACATTTATACCCTAAACACATTCACTCCAGTTCATAAACACATTGGCTCCAGTTCAAGTGCAAAACTGCAAATGGTAATAGTAGAAGTAGAAGTCAATAACCATGTCGGAACCATGTATTAGCTCAAATGATACAATCTTTCTTTCTTAAAGAAGAGGTGAGTAGCTTGAACCTCTAACAAAACAGCCTAGTTTGTGAGTGTGTTACTTACCGAACAAAGAAATTAAAATAGTATAACTATATCCCAACTAGCAACAGATACTTGCAACAGACAACTTAATGTAAGAAACACTCCCACACAACAGAACAATACGAAAATTTAAAAACACACACATCCAAACAATGTTCATGGTATATTCTATAATAGTTTTGTTTTTATATCCCATATATTGGGCTACAGAAAAGCAAACCTTTGTTCCATTCACCTGTATTAAAGTCCACTTGCTCCCAAAAGGAATGCAATAAGTTAGAATCATTCTCTGTTGAAGTTGTTTAGACCAATTCATGGTAAAAATGTGTATCAGAATCAAATCCCACCCATAATATTCATAGCTCTCATGTATGAGGAGGTTGGAGGGGAAGCTAGATAACAAATCTAATCTTTAACAGTATCATTCATAAAGGACTGAAAAACTCTAAACTTGTGGAGAGTCGACAACTGACTTATAGACGTGGGGTGTGGACTGTTGTGATGGACTCCACACTCATGTCTCTAAGTCGATTGTTGACTCTCGACAAGTATAGCGCAGTATATATATATATATATGTGTGTGTGTGTGTGTGTGTGTGTTCAACGTGATTATACTTTGTCTGAATAAACCAAACTTTGGATAGTGATTGTTGTTATATTACGGAGTAATTTATAAATCAGACGAGCCAATACCATTGTCCCTAAGCAAATGTTTGAAGGTGGTACTCAATATTCACTTGTTAAAGGGAGTATTAGTATGAATTTGAACATATACAATTAGGTTAAGAATCATGACCAAAGTCAAATAAAGTGAGAGTAGGAATTGCAGTCACAGCAAGTGCAAGAATGGGAGTACGAAAACGACAAAATCTAAGTTATACAAAGTGGGGTGAGAGCGAGAGCATGCGTGAAACGTGAAAGTGAAAATACACAATGGTTATCAGAACGACGAGAAATTTTTTTTTACGATCCATTGCATGGTACAGTAAGTTTTTCTCCGAAACTTCAATTATAACTATGAGTGATTTTACTAAGTATGCTTCATGAGTACTGATATCACTCATGTTTCAAAAGTTTTAACTGCAAGCATGTTAAATAATTAATCTAGACAATGCACGTTCGTGTGTTGATGATGAGATTTCCATCTAATTAATCTGAGGAGCAAAAGGAGGATCTACCCAAAAAGGGGCTTGCCTCTTATTAAAGGTGAATGATCTTTCTACATATACAATTGCATTTACTATGTGGATCCTAGTTTGGGTCCTACATTTTATACTTCAGAATTGGTGACTTAAGTTGTACATGTATTTTTTATTTTCTTTCTAAAATGATAATCATAACTAATTTTTAAATATTTTAGTATTTGTTGGTTTTATTTTATTTAGGTATCTAGAGATTCTGACTTTTTGGAATATTTAAAGAATTTTACAATTTTTTATTTATTTATTTTGTTTTCAATTTTGGTTTGGTAGAAAGGAAGAAAATTGGATGGAAGGGAAGATAGAAGAGATGAATGATACATCCCTAGGGAAGAAATTATATCATTCCCTCTTTTTATTTGGTTGGATAAAAGAAAAGAGAAGAGAATGAGATAATACCTTACTTTTGTTTGTTAACAAAAAAAAAAAGAAGATGATATTAATTATAAGGAAAATTTTGTAATTTTTTTTTTATTTATAATAGTCTTGTCTTTTTTTCTTGGTAACTTTCGTCCATATTTGGAGGGATGAAAATTTGTGAAGGAGGAATGATGACTCGTTAATCATTTTTTTTGTTATCTTATTATCTCCTCTCTACTAAACCAAGAAAGTTTACTTCTTTCTTATCTTCCCTCCACCCTCTTCCTACCAAACAGGGCATGAATATTGTTGATGGTATGTTACAATAATGAGATACTGAGCGTGAGAGAAACCAAACTTCATAGAACATTATGCATGGTAATAGATGAATATTTGAACTTAAAATTATAACTGTGGAACAGAGTTGTAGTATTTATATAGTTAAATGATAGAAATAATATGGTCCTAGTAGATGTACAAACACCCTCTTTGAAAGACTAGTAATGATACATTTATGTGAGCTGAAGTTTATTCTGTGCATCTATGGTGGCACAAAATATTTTTTTTCTATAAATGGGCACTCAAATTAAAGTTAATTCAAGTGAAATAATGATGACTTGACATACATACATGCAATTCAATTGAAAATTTTCAAATATTTGGTGGTCTCTTCCAAACCTATGCAGTAATTTTTTCAAAGAATTGCATTTAATGTCCCTCTTTTTATTTTTGATTGTTCTTGGATCCACTTCACTTACAACCATGCAATAAAAAAAAGTACCAAGACTCATTCTTTTGAAAAGTTTGAAATCTAGCCTGTTATTATAATTCCATCGCGACACAAAGTTTGCGGATTTAACTTACTTTTAATTAATCATATTTGTTTTATAATCGTATCAATTCATTTAATTTGTCTTCTTACCTTTGTGATTTGGAGTTTAACCCGTTTTACCTTATTAAATTCGGTCTTCTTTTTCTTCATTTATTTTTTATTTTTTATTATTTATTTATTTATTTTGGTCATTGACAAGAAAGTCACATACATTTGCTCCTTTGAAGACTCGAACTCTCATTATCTACTTTAAAAAGTAAAGGAGATACTATTGGACCACAGGGCCTTGATAAATTCATTTAATTAGTCAACTCAATCAATATTTTAAACCAATTATTATTAATATTTTTATTATTTCAATATAAATACAATATGAATATTTTATTTATTATTATTATTTTTTGGGAATGGTATTATCTCAATTATTCTCATTTTTATGATCATCATTTTTCATTTTTTACTTTAACTTAATAAATGGGTTACATAACCCATTTAAGTTACGATTATTTACCGTTTTCTAACATAATTATTAAACAACTCGTGTTAAGATTAACTAGTTCAACAAATTTTCATAAGTCAATTATGACCCAACAACCAAAAAATTGTTACGAGGATAGTTTCAAATTTTGTTAATGGTCTTTTAACGTATTGGTACGACTCAAAATGCAAAGGAGATTGATTATTCTAATACTTCTAAATTTCTATCACAATCTGTATCAGTCTTATAAGATATTAATAAATTTTGTTATTCAAAATGAAAGTCCATTTTGGGATATTGGATTGGGGGTAAGTTAGTCATTTGAACACTTGATTAGCAGTAGTAAATTTATAGAGAGAGAGAGAGATTTGATTGATATAGGGGAGTAATTAATTAATCGAAGTATTGCTGTGTATCCGTGTGAGCTTTTCCCAAAACATTCCATAAAAAGAAATACTCTTCTAAAACCGCCATCAGCATCAGATCACAAACCACACCGATGACCAAAACTTAGCCCTCCTCTACTCTCTCTCTACATCACATCTTCAACGCATTCCATTCGCGAAATCCCCAAAAAGCCACTGTGTTCTGTGGGGTGGTCTGAAGGAGGGGAGGAGATGAACAGCCACAAGTTCCAAATCTTCGACTCTCTTCCGGCGTAGTAAATAGCGCCGAACCCTTTTCACATGGCGAAGCGCGTGTACGAACTCTGGAAAGGAAGCAATGTAAGATTCGCTCGTATCAATTTTGAATCTCTTGTAGATGCTGTTTCCTTCACTTTTTTTTCATCTGGGTATGCTTTAGATTTGCTGGGTTTCCCTTAATTTAACTGGTTTTGGTGGATTCACACTTCGAATTCGGCTTTGATTAGGGTTTATGGCCAATTTAATGAATAGGGTTGGCAACGTTTTACAACAAAAATCAGTTAATATGGTGATTTATGTTGTCTTTGCACTTTTTTTTTTTAAAAAAAATTATCAATGGCGAAATTGGTTGTGTAATTTTTGGCGTTAAAAACTTGATGTTGTATTCGTGAAATAGAGTAATTTCTTTTATGTTTAGTTCAGATTTGTAGTGCTTGTACATGAAATGATAATCTCCGTAGTAGAATTTTGGTTGAGTTAGATGAAATGAGGTACAAGTTAGCGGAGTAGTGATTAATGGGGGGTGAAGTAGCAGAGAGAGAGTGGAGTTTGATTTCTGGGGTTATTGATTAATTGATTCGTTAAATGCCTCAAGTTATTGCCTTATTGGGAGGTTGAATTTTTCTGAAGGATGCACAGTAATGTGTCAATTGCTGTTATTATCAAAGGATTCAGACATCATTGTTTTGGGCATATCTTAGAAGACACTTCATTAAATAGTTGACATTCCTTCTCATGACACTATGTCCTTGTTTGAGAATGATACTTTTATTGCTTGCTGCTTAAGCTGTATTTCTAATGCCAATTTTGCATGGTGTTAATATGATAAAAGGGGGAAAAAAAATATTCTCTGTCTTGGTCGAGTATGATAAATAAATGGACGTTTTTGCATGACCGTGTACTTCCCATTTGTTTTCATATGTTAAGGTAGTCTAGATCACAATAAGACGATTTTCTTATTTATGCAAGTGCTACTAGTTAGGTGGATTAGTAAGTTATGAGGATTATTTCAGTTATTATGCACAAAATTTTGTTAATAATAGGTTCTCCAGAGAGATTACTGGCTCTCTTATTCTCTTTCTTTTCCGCTCTACTCCTTTTGTGCTTCTTTACTTCATAATAAACCATAAAACAGATTTGGTTTTAGAACAGGAAGGTCGTTCTCACTTTCTTGCTAATATGTATCTTGTTCGCGTGGATGGTCCATTCATGAGAAGTCACACGTGAAGGAGTTGAAATTTATTGTTCCAACACCTACCCAATAGAGCTTAAGACCAGTCGGTTGTTTCCAGTACTAAGGATGATTACTTCCTTTCTTTTGCTTTAGTAGACCATATTCACTCAGGTACCATAGTAGGTAAAGTTGAAGGGGAAAGAGTGGTGGACTTAGAAATTCAATGTGTTTTCTTTTCTTTTGGTTACTCAATGAATGGTTTTTCTTAGGGCCTTGGAGATTATAGTATTTAAAAAAAAAGAAAAAAATTTGGTTAGATGGTAGGAGATTTGTGTACCTTGATTAAATCTTTACGAGCATGATCTAATTTCAATAGGTGTACATCAATAATCAACATTAAACTACGATTTCCCTCCATAATCATGGGCAAACTTTGTGGATTTGTCCCTAGGCTTGGGTATGATGAGAAAGTATGAGTCAGCAGATGTTAAATTTGTGGCAAAGTTTTCTGGAAATAAATCTAGGGTAGTAGGGTGATCATTTTTGTCTTCTAGGCTTGATCATTTATATAGAGGTATAGATTGAAGTGTGTTGGGGAGAATAAATGATCAAGTGCTTATGGAATTTTATGCAATTGCATAGACTGATAGACTTGTTGAATTAGAATGAGAAGTCGTGTAAAATAGTTATAAACTTATAAGTCAATGTATAAAATAGTTATAAGACAAATTATATAACAGATATAAGATTATTCCTCCTTTCCACGATATAATGTTAGGCAGGTCAGTTACAATATATTTTAGTATGGCTTAAGTGAAGAAATTGACACGAGCAGATAGGAAACATGAAATAATTAGAAACAAATTATATTAGGAAAAATCGACAAAACAGTGTGTCACATGGTTAAGAAGTCAGGCATGCTGTAACTTATCAAAAAAAAAAAAGAAGTCAGGCATGCTGTTCACTGTGATGTGTTGGTGGTGGCAGTTGTGGTTTTTGTGTGGTAATGGTGGTGATGTTAATAGTAATTGTGCTGACTGTGATGATATCCGGAGGGTGGTAGTTTGGATAGGAATGGTCAACACAGGTGCTAAAATCAAGCCTTGGAGTTGGATTGTAGTATTCAATTTCTTAAATATATTATTTGAAAGCTTATGATCATGTAAATTGGAATTTCCTTCTCTACTTGCTTCAAAGAATGGGGGTTTGGAAGTAGATGGAGGACATGGATTGAGACATGTCTTTCGTCTGCCAAGTTCTCAATTCTTGTGAATGGTTCTCCAGCTGGTTTCTTCGGGTGCTCTTAGGGTACAAGACAAGGTGATCTATTGTCATCTTTTCTTTTTTTTTATAGTTATGGAGGGCTTAAGCAGACTTATGCGCCGGGCAGAGAATCTTGGTCTCATTAAGGGATTCTGGGTGGGAAGAGATATTGACAATCAGGTGGAGATTTCACATCTGCTATTTGCAAATGACACTCTAGTTTTCTGTGATACAGATGTGTCTCAACTTAGAAATTTGAGGTGCATTCTGGCTTGCTTTTAGGTAATTTCTGGGCTAAAGGTAAATGTGGCCAAGATTGTGCTTGTCCTGGTCGAAAATGTACAAGACATCTCTTCTTTAGCTGCAGTTCTTGGGTGTAGGGTGAGCTCCTTTCCTATCCCTTATTTAGGATTGCCTCTAAGGGCTTCTTCCAGGTTAGTGGGGAGTTGGTATTTTGTGCTTTATAGTTATGCACAGAGGTTGGCAGGTTGGAAGAAGCAATACTTGTCCAAGGGGGGTAAAGTAACTCTTATCAAGAGCACTTTTTCAAGCCTTCCCACTTATTTTTTTTCTATGTTCCAAATTCCATACTCCATTGCTGATAGAATTGAACAAATTTAAAGGAATTTCCTGTGGGGAGGAAGGGGAGAGGAGTTCAAGTATCACCTTGTTAGATGGGAGAAAGTAAGCAAGCCTATAAAAGTAGGGGGTCTCGGTATTGGACGATTGATTCCTTTTAATCAAGCTCTTCTGGGCAAATGGTTGTGGAGATACGGGAAGGAAAGACACCGCCCTTGGCGTAGATTAGTATCTTGCAGGTATGGGGAAGACGTTGGCAGATGGACTACACGTCCGGTTTCTATTGTGGGAGGAGTTGGGGCTTGGAAATCAATTCGGAAAGGATGGGATGCCTTTTCCTCTCATACTAGATTCAGAGTTCGTGATGGTAGTTGCGTTCGTTTTTGGGAAGATCTTTGGTGTAGGAACCAGCCTTTATGTCGTACATTTCCCAGATTATATAGTATTGCAGTTGATAAACATGCTCTCGTAGTTAACTGTTATTAGCTTGATAATAGTGGGATTACGTGGAATGTTCATTTTTGGCGTTCATTTCAGGATTGGGAGTTGGAAGAGGTGAGCATTTTCTTGGATCAATTGTATTGGCAGGAAGGAATTGGCAGGGGTTATGACAATTTGATTTGGATTCCCTCTTCTCACGGTCATTTTGAAGTAAGGTCTTTGTTCTTATGTTTGTCTAATTTTGCTTCCTATGATTTCCCATGGAAGACTATATGGCGCTCTATGGCTCCTACTCGGGTGGCATTCTTTGTATGGACCGCCGTTTGGGGTAAGATTCTGACGATCAATAATTTGAGGAAAAGGGGAAATATTCTTGTTAATCGGTGTTGCATATGTAAGCAGGATGGGGAGTCGATCGATCATCTCCTAATGCATTGCTCCGTAGCGCACAATTGCTGGAATCTTATTCTTGGCCTATTTGGCATGTGCTGGGTAATGCCACGTTTTACTAAGGAGTTGATTCATGCTTGGAGAGGTTGTTGTGTGAGTAGGAGTGTTCGTGATTATTGGAGATTTGTTCCACATTGTATCTGGTGGTGCATCTGGAAGGAGAGAAATAGTAGAATGTTTGAAGGGAAGGAGTCGTCTACAGCGACACTGAAACTTTTTATTATTCGTTCTTTTTTTAGTTATGTGAACAGAAGTTCTTGTTCCTCTTCTGATGATTTAATTTCTTTTTAGGATTCTTTGGGGCCTTAGACCCCAATCTCTCTATTGTTTATGGGACGCGTTCCCCTATTGAACGCCTTTTTTAATTTATTATTACTTATCAAAAAAAAAAAAAATTCTTAAATATATTATTTCACCTATGGTGAACCTTTTTGCAATTGGATTTGGTAACTAAAGTGTTAGACATCAAAATTTTGTCATTGTGGAATCCAATTTTGAAATAAACGTTACAGTTGGGGGGATCATAGATTTCGTAATACCACCTGAAACTTTTAACTTTAAAACCTAAGATGCATTAAATTTAATCTGGTTTCAAAATATATGTATCTTCACTTTGTTATTAAAAAAATAATATGTATCTTCACTTTGTTATTGAATGTTTCTTGTGATAATATTTCTAATTAAACTAAAAAAATGTTATTGGAGGATTGTTCCACATTGCGTTTGGTGGTGCCTATGGCGAGAGAGGAATAACAAAAATTTTGAAGGAAATGAATCGTCTTTAGCAAATTTAAAAATTCATATTCTTCGTTCTCTTTTCTATTATGTAAGAGGCAGCGCCCGCTCCTCGATTGATGACTTTTTTGATCTTTTGGAGGCTATTGGTTCTTAGGTCCTTTTTTCGTTTTTGTATTAGGGATGCGTTCCCCTTTTGAACGCTTTTCTAATATACTTTTTACTTATCAAAAAAAAAAAAAAAATGAGATTAATATTTCGTTGTTCAAAGGTTAATGTCTAACTACGCTCAAGCACATAAATGAGTTCTGCTGCAAGACTTCAAATTGATTAGAAGTATATGAAGAACTTAACTTTATTAAAAGCCGAATTCCAACTAAAGGAATCCCTATATGCACACTTAACTTAATAAAGCCCCATTTCAACTGCGTAAATCCCATTCTTCTTCCTCTCTCTCTCTCTCTTTTTTTTTTGGCGTTGGTGGTGGTGGTGTGTGTTGGTGTTATGAATGAATATTGTCAAATGGTAAATGAAAAGCCACTGGAGGAATTAATTATGGCTTTATATCTGGTGTGGAAAAGCCCCTCATGCAGGAGGTTCTATTGAGCAATATTATGAATTATTTTTGTCTGGATACCTGGTGTGGGAAAGAATCACACTTGATAAGCATTTGTAGATTTGAACTCTATTGCTTTCAACAAGGAACCCTGGCCATGGACACACTAAGATATTTGAATCAGGGATTTGCAAAATTAGGAGCTGGAAGCAGTGGATGACTTTCCGAGCTGATGCATGGTGAATCTTTGTATAGGGGGGATGATGATGACTCCTTGATGTGGATCTCAAAGGCTGTGGGGCATTCTTACAGCGTATAAATAAGAGCAATGGGAGAAATTAATTATAGTGAGGGAAAGCCCCTACTGCAGGAGGTTCTTTCAAGCAATACTGTGAATTAGTTGTCTGATATCTGGTGTGGGAAAGTCCCCATGTGATAGGCATTTGTAGTTTTGAAATCTTTTGCTTTCAACAAGGAATCCTGTCATGGATGCACTAAGATCTTTGAATCATGGATTTGTGAAATTAGGAGCCGGAAGCAGTGGATGACTTTCCGAGCTGTTGTATAGTGCATCTTTGTATAGGGGATGATGATGACTCCTTGAGGTGGATCTCAAAGGCCATGAATAATGGCAAATGTTGCATGAGGCTTTCTTTCATAGTGCTTTTGTGATAAAAGATGTGAAGGTTTCCCTTGAAATAACGCATCTTTCTTTGTGGTCGACTGCACTGTATATTTCAACTTACATATTCCAGGACAGGGTTGAATGATTTTCCGCTTGTGTTATATGTGCATAAAGCAGAGGAGACAGTAAACCATCTTTTAATTTATTTTGCTCCAAATATATGGAGTATGGTCTTTTCTGTTTTTGGGTTCTGTGGCTGACTCCTATGTTGGTTACGTAGGTGATGACTTCTTTTTTATTTTTTTTTGATAGGTAAAGAAAATATATTATAAACACGCTCAAAAGGGCAGCGCTCCCAAAACAAACAACTGCCATCCAAGACAACACTAAAGCTTCAAGCTATCAACAAAATCCAAAAGACAATCTACTAGCATACAATCCCGCCCATTTACCCCAAAGAATAAAGAATAAAGTATATTATACTTAATAGCCCATATAGGAGACTCCACTCCCTCAAAGTATCTCCTATTTCTCTCTTGCCACAAATCCCACCATATACACAAGTGAGTAGCCCTCCAAGCATCTGTAACTCGGCTCTCCACTGTACACCCTCTCCAAGTCTCAAGCAAGTTGACCGTAGTATCTGAGAACACCATGGAATACCAAAAGCAACCAAAAACATGGTCCAAACATCCCTTGCCACCTGGCAATGAATAAGAAGATGGTTGATGGATTCCCCCGTCTTCTTACACATGTAGCACCTGTTTACCACAGCTTGACTTCTTCTTCTAAGATTATCAATAGTGAGGATGCTTCCCAAAGCAGCTGTTCATGAGAAAAAAGCTACCTTCAGTGGTGCTTTTGTCCTCCAAATAGCTTTCCTAGGAAAAACAGGGCCAAGAAACTCCACCATACTAAAATAGAAAGACTTGACCTCGAACACCCCTCTCGAGGACCCCACTCACACCATCTCATCCATGCCCACGCCGACCACCATCTGGCTATAAATGAAAGCCAAAAAGATCTGTAACCTCCAATAGTTCCCAATCATGTAACTGTCTCGGAACCATAAATCCCACGTCACCCTTCCATTATCAAGACGATAATAATCAGCAACTAAAGCATCTCTATTCAGAGCAATTTGGTAAATAAGCGGGAACCTACTGGCCAAAGCCAAATCCCCACACCATATGTCTTCCCAAAATCTGAAATTTCTTCCACTTTGAAACTTAGGTGATGACTTCTTGGCAAAGAGGCTGTTCTATATGCAGGATGAGTGGGGCTTGGATGACAGATTCTTTTGTCTTGTAATGTGTATTTGAAGGGAGTCTGATGGGTTTTTTTTTGAGGATGTAGCGATTCCGATGTACAGATTGGAATAGACCATGCTTTGCTTGTTCCAGTTTTGGGTCTCTGGGAAGTTAACTGCTTCAATTTCTTCTTTAATTTGACTTTTTTTCTGGAAGGACCTTAGTTTGTTGCTTCTGCATATCTCACCTGTAAATGTGTTACATTTCTTTGGTGGCTTTCTCATATACACTTTTATTTTTTTGATAAGTACATATACACATCTTACACACAACACAAATTAATATGTTCAATAAGCGAGTTGATTGTAAATGTGAAAGGGAGCAGGTAGAAATAATGGCCGCAATCTTAGGTTTTCCGAAAGGAAGCCCTTGGAAGTTTAGGTTTCCAGACCTGCACAAAATTTTCATGTACAGTGAGGAATTTGACTACAATAGGTTGATGGAGACTGGTTTTGTGTGGCACCTTTTCTTTTGTAGGGCACTGCAAGATTGGTAGTTGGAGTTGGTGGATTCTTTTTCTGGGACCTGTTGCTTAAGTGCGTGTTTGCAAAATGAGAGGATGCTTGGAAGCCGAAGAGCACCAGGGTTTGGGGGGATATGAAATTAGCTCTTCCTAGAGAGTGGTGAGGAGTGGGGGACTGGGAGTCACTGCATTGGAGGCTAATTTATCACTAAGATCAAAGGTGCCCCCAAGGTGGCATTTTTTAGGTTGACAACAATTCTGGGGGAGATTGTAACTGTTGGCAATTTCGTGCTAAGAAGTAAAATTTTCTCATACTGTGCTGTATATGTACTGGAGCATTAATACATACATACATATATATATATATATATATTCAAGAATCATTCTTAGCTTTGTGGTTGAGGTTTTGGAATTGGGAAATAGGAGACTGGTTGTGCTAATAGGAGAGTGAGAAGTGTGGGTAAGTGACGCCATTGTTGCTGCGGTGCTATTTTGGGAGACTGGTTGTGCATGTGCTAGTAGGTGAGTGATAGGTGTGGGTAGTGGCACGGTGGCACCATTTTCCTTGTGGTAGTGTTTTTGGAAGGAGTTCGATGGACAATTTATTTGAAAGAAAGGAATAGCCAGTTATGGAGCTGAATAAGTCCTTTATATATGTATTTAATTTTTTTTATCTGTTTTTGGTCTCCTGTGAGATTCCTTCTCTTTGATTCTTATTTTGATTAAATGGGAGATGTGTATGGGCATTTCAGTTTTCAGTTTGTTTTTCTTCTTGTTCTTTATGTACACGTCTCAGTATGCATGGGTTGAACCTCATTGGTGTTTTTAATGGATTTATTTGCCTATAAAATATATACATGTGTTTCTTTGTATGTGGATGCTCAATAAGTTTGTTTATATTATAGATTGTTGTTCCTTAATAAGTTCAGATACAAGAGAAGGTGGGAAGACGTTTAAATGACAATGGGAGCATGGAAAATTTAACACTTGGGTTCTGCGGGTACGTTATGATGGCAAGAGGCTCTTGGTTAAGGAACACTGCTACAAGGATATCCGAAATTGAGTTTGTACAAGTCCTTAACGCTGTATGGATTTGGTATCGGAAGCATGGAGGTCAAAGTCACACGCAATGCTGAAGATCAGAAGAATGTTTAGGTGATCTCTGCTCTCTGTGTGTGTGTGAGTGAGAGAGAGAGAGAGAGAGAGAAAGGGGGGGGGGGGGGGGGGATTATAGTTTTTAGGTGCACAATTTTGGACATGACACAAGTCATAAAAGGAACACCGCTACAAGGATTTCAGAAATTGAGGTTGTACAAGTCCTTAATGCTGTATGGATTTGGTATAGGAAGCATGGAGGTTACAGTCACACACAATGCTGAAGATCAGAAAAACGTTTAGGTGATCTCTGCTGTGTGTGTAAGAGAGAGAGAGTTTATAGATTCTAGGTGCACAATTTTGGACATGACACAAGTCCTTAATGCTGTATGGATTTGGTATAGGAAGCATGAAGGTCACAGTCACACACAATACTGGAGATCAGAAGAACATTTAGGTGATCTCTGCTCTGAGTGTGTGTGTGTGTGTGTGTGAGAGAGAGAGAGAGAGAGCTATATATATAAACAGAGAGAGAGAGAGAGAGTTTATAGATTTTAGGTGCACAATTTTTGACATGACACAAGTCGCAAACAATTTGTTGTTACCTTATACCTTGAATTTACATGAAGTCACAAACAAATGTTGCTAAGTTAATACTTAAATTATCATGTATTTTGTTCGTTGTTTATGTTTGACCTACCAAATTTTATGTTGCCATGAGATTTGTTCTTCTTTAACTTCTAGTTTATTTTTGCAGAAGTTCTTCCTTGGTGGGAGGGTGATATTTGGGCCAGATGCCAGATCATTGCTTGTCACCTTATTGTTGGTCATCGTTCCTGTTGTTATCTTTTGTGTATTTGTTGCAAGGCATCTCCGCCATGAATTTTCTCCACATAATGCAGGATATGCAATTCTGGTGCTGGCAATTGCCTTTACTATCTATGTTAGTCCTCTTAATCCTTACCTTCACTTGAATTCTTATAATTTTTGTCAACTACCATCTACCCTAAAAGCTTAAGCTATTAGAGAGGGTGTAACTTTAGTATTTAAATCTTCTAACACACCCCCTCACGTGTGGCCTTCTTTTGGTCCAACATGTGTTCAACTTTAATTATCGGGTGAGGTTTGAACTAGAGACCCTTGGCTCTGATACCATGTCAGCAACCATCTACCCTAAAGTTTAAGCTATTAGAGAGGGTGTAACTTTAATATTTAAATCCTTTAACAATTATCATAGGAATTCTTAGTTGTAATGGTGAAATTATATGGTTTAGTTGTCCAATTACAGGTTTTCAAGCACAATTAGTGGGCATGTGTTTAGTTGTTCCGTGGCCACTTAGGAATCAGGATGGTGTAATGGTGAAATCATATGGTCTTTACTTGGCCGTACAGGTTTTCAAGCACCATTAGTGGATGTCTTTAGTCTTAGGATGATGTATGTAATGGTGAAATCATCTGATTAAGCCATTTTGAATGATCTGAATTGGAGTATTTCCGAGACTCCACCCCCCAAGCCCCTAAAAAAATTAAATATATAAAAAATATCTTATAAAATGGCATAGGGAGTGCTAATGGATCAAAATATTATGTAGCATATTATCTTAATTCTTGAATCTACATATTCATTTTCTGGGGGCATCTTTTACTAGCTTCCATTGTATTAAAAGAATGCATGTTCCTGAAACATGGCAATAATGGAAGTCTAAGCAAGCATATTTGTGATCTCTATCATAACCTTTTTCTGCAAAATTGATTTGTTTCACATCTTTTATTTTTTTATTATTATGTTATTATATATGTTCATTATGTTGTTTACCTATAATTATTTGGGCACTCTCACATCTATTCCTCCCCACCCCCACAAAATAAAATGAAAAATATCACATTATAAAATGGTATGGCGAGTGCTAAATGATAAAATTATATAATATATTATTTGGACACTTCCTTTCACGTATTTTTATTTTTATTATTTATCTATATGTGGCTTATTGTCATCCCTTGGTTATTTTTTGGTAGGTGTTGGTGATTCTTTTTCTTACTTCAGCCCGGGATCCGGGAATTGTTCCCCCTAATTCACATCCGCCAGAGGAAGAATTACGTTATGACACTTCGAATTCAGTGGAGGTTGGGGGAAGACAAACACCAAGCCTACAGTTTCCTCGAACAAAAGAAGTTATGGTCAATGGTCTTCCTGTCAGGGTTAAATATTGTGACACCTGCATGCTATATCGGCCTCCACGTTGCTCGCACTGCTCTATTTGCAACAACTGTGTGGAGCGATTTGATCACCATTGTCCTTGGGTGGGCCAATGCATTGGAATGGTATTGTGTTTAACATGCCAGTTGCAACTTATCTTGTTTTTGTGGTCTTACATACACTGCTGGTATTGCCATTACATGAATCTAACTGCCTGTATTTGTGTGCAGCGCAACTACCGTTACTTCTTTCTCTTTGTTTCATCTTCAACGCTTCTTTGCATTTATGTGTTTGCCATGTCAGCTTTGTACATAAAGTTCCTGATGGATGATCATCAAAGCACAGTTTGGAAGGCAATGAAAGAATCTCCTGCCTCAGTGATATTAATGGCATATTCATTCATTTCTTTGTGGTTTGTTGGCGGACTCACTGGCTTCCATTTGTACCTTGTAAGCACAAACCAGGTCAGTTAATTTCTATTGTTTGTATATCTCTGGCTAAAAAATGTAGTGGTGATGATTCTTGTTGTTATATAGAGTCTGGTGAAAGAAAAATGTTTGGTTTAATGAGATCTTAATGTGTACCAAAAAAGAATCAGATCTAAATTTTATATGAACCGTTGATTTCCTGTTGGTCAGTTGATTTTTCATCAAATGTCCAGGTTTTGGATCATATGCTGCTACCTCAAGGCCGGGTATAGCAGTTTTTACTATTACAATATATTGCGTTAGTCAATGGTCATCCTCATCCAATTAATGGGCTCTGCACTACATCATGATGTGGAAGGTAGAACCACAATAACAATCAAGCCTTTTTCCCAACTACTTGGGGTCGGCACATCCTGATGTGGAAGGTGCAAGGTCAAAATATCATGATATAGGATAGCATTATAAAACCTAAAATATGCTTCCTGTAAAAAGAGGAATAGAGGTTGTGGGATTTACGACTGGAAGGGTCAGAATCTGGTTGGTTTTATAAGTGATAGGTTGCTGGATTTTAATAACTGATATTGCTAGAAATGCCAGAAACCAACTAATGGTGTTTGGGTTATGAATACAAGTCAAAGATGGGGTGGGTTGAAGGGGAGGTTTGATTTGGGTTGGTATGGGTAGAGTTCTGTTGCAATGAATAGGCTGTGAACAGTAACCAAGAACATTTTCTTGTGGTTTTGGATTGCTCGGGTTCAGCTGGGCTTGTCAAATTAGGATTTATATGGTTTAAAAGAAAATTGAAGAATTCCAAGTCAGGTTCCTTAGTTCTTCATCTTCCTCTTAGAATAATTACATAGAAGTCTATTGATTGGAAAGATTGCATAGACATTTATATGCTGTTGTTTTTCCTAACTGTAATTGGATTTTGAGTCCTAAAACAAAAAAAAATTGAAACTTTGGCCTTTAAATTATTCTAGGCATATCAAAGGCCACATAAGAATGCTGAGTAAAACAACTTTAATGTTTTATTCGGTAGGAAGGAAGGAAGACCTGTGGAAAGAAAATAGGAAGGAAAGAACAAACTTCCTTTGTTCGGTAGATGATGATACAAGGAAAGAAAGGATAATAAGAGGGATGTGTCATCCATTCTTTACAAATTTTCATCCGTCAAAAAATGGGTGGAAGAGATGGGAGAAGAAAAGTGGACTATTATAGAAGATTTAAATTAAATATTATCCTAAATTACACAAATTTTAAATTACAATACTTGCAATATTATAGATATTACTGAACATAATAGTAAAAACAATTTAAAACTTTATCTTTTCCTTCTCTCATGACGAACAAATTAAATTGTGAGTTTATTTTCTTCTCCTCCATCCAACCGAACAAAAAGAAAGAATGACACCATCTCTTTCTTAGGGATGTCTCTTCCATCCAATTTTTTTCTTTCTTACCGAACGGAGCATAAACCTAATGGATCACTACACAGGACATTATAGCAAATATTTATTAGGGTAAATTACATTGACCTCCCCTAAGGTTTGGCCTAATTACACTCGGCAGCCATGTTTATTCTACTGACCTCCCTAATTGCTGTTGGCCAACTTATGGATGCTAAAATAATATGGTAAAATATCATTTATACCCTTATAGAGTTAATAATATTTTAATAAATATACTGTCATGTGGAAAGACTGTATTACCCTACTTACGATTCCCCTCTTCTCTGCCCTCTCTCCTTCCTCTTTCTGCGTTCAATGGTGGTGACGGGGATTTGCAGAAACCACCTGTTGGGACCTCTCTCCTCGTCAAAAAGCTCTCTCCGCCTCTCCATATTGTGTGTTAGAATCAGAAGCTCTCTCTTTCCTCTCTCTCTCTCTCTATATATATATATGTGTGTGTATGTGTGTGTGTGTCGGATAGCTAAGATATATAAATCACAAACAAAAGTAGATTCATATCAGTACGCTAGTGAACAAAGGCACCCACCTATCCATTGATTGACGGAGGAGGTGGTTGTGAAGGAGAAAAAGAATTAGTTCTTTAAAGTGAAACCATGAAGAATAAGCCGAGTAATTGCTATTGGTCTGTGGAGCAATATATCGAAGCCCTTGTTGATTTATATAGCTTAATATATTACAATAAAATAGGATAGATACCCAAAAAGAAAAAAGAAAAAGAGGAAAATTTTATGGCTTTGATTTATCTCTCTGTTTCTCAAAACCATAACCCTAAGGTAAATGGTGTCGGGTCATCTCTTCCCAGACCGTTCTTGTGCTTCCAATTGGATTCCATTCGTAGCAAGTACACAACAAATTCTGTTTAAATTCGATATTACCAAAGCCAAACTTTATCATTTCGGAACCTAGTTGGTGGACCTAGATTTGTGAACACCTTTCTAGATCATACCTTTGGAGGGTTTTAGTTTCTTCCAAATGATTCCCTCATCGAGTAGTTCAGTCCCAAGTTCAACTTTGAGGATGGATGAAGATCCTCGTGAGGATTGTGATTTCTAGGATGTAGTTTTGAGATATACAAGTCATATGCTTATGGAGGAAGACATGGACCCATAATGGAATATTGCTAATTTTGTACGCTTCAACATGATTTGAACCTGTGTACAGAGGAAGACATGGACACATGATTTGTACTCGTGTAAATTATCTATTTCATGAATGCTTCAAGAGTCTCTGGCAGTCGATCGTCAGCCCAATGATTCCGGTGCCGACCACTACCACGTTGAAAGAATAGGATGTAGTGATCGGTTTCTCTCTGCTTCTTCTTTTTTGTTTTCCTCGCTTGAGGTGCAACTCTATTTTTTAGCTATTTTTGTTTTTCAAAATAAAATTTCAAGTCCCGAAAACAAATAGATGCATTTGTTTCTTGTTTTCAAGAAATTCATTATAATTGGTATTTTTGGTCATCTCACACTAAAGTTTAAGCCAATTATTTTCTTGTTAAACAAGAGAACTTTTTGAAAAAATCATTTACAGTTCTGACGGTAAGTCAATGGGAGGGGGGTCGTTGAAGTCTTCTTGAATTTTTTGGGTTCCTTTGTCTTAGTTTTAGGCTTCTAAAGTCGGTGATGGTTGTGGCAATAAATTGGCTAACTACTCAAGCAATAAAAGGACGCAACAAAGTGCACTAACGCTATTGAGCAAAACCATTGTTTGCGTGGTTTGGCAAATTGGACGTGCAGGGGATAAAAAAAGAAATTTAATTTAATTTTTTTATTTTATAAATATGATTAGTTTTTCATTATATGTAAGCACAATAGAATTTACTTGGTTTGGTACTATACCTTACTCGATGGCGAAGACAAGAACTTCATCTTTTTTTATAATTGGTATTACATTCTTAAAACATGCATACTCTCCCCTCAAATTGTGGTTGAACCCTTGGTGAACGGCAACCTACTCAAACCAATGCAATTATTAAATGGAGTGAAATGGTTTTCAATTTACTGACGAGTAAGGCTGTTTAATGATTATTTGTTTCTATGTTAATTGAATTGACACTATTGCCTCCTTTAGTCCTTTTGTTAGTGAGTTATTCTATGGTTGATGATAATTTGGCAATTCCAGTGGTTATTAGGAAAAGGACTAGCTGATTTATGCTCCATTTTAATTATTCTGATTAGCAAGTCCTTGGTACCATTTACTGTATGGGAAATACTTGCTTTTGACTCCCACATCCTTGGAGCTTGTAGACAATGTTAATTTTCCGGACACTAAATCTACTGTATGGGAAATACTTGCTTTTGTCTTTCATGTGTTTGTGGGCTTTGTTGGACCTATGATTTATTCCTCTTTATCAGCTAGTTTAATATTTAAACATATTTTCTCAGACTACGTACGAGAATTTCCGGTACAGAGCTGACAACAGGATCAATGTGTACGACAGAGGTTGTTTGAATAATTTCCTAGAAGTATTTTGCACGAAGATAAAGCCTTCGAGGAACAACTTTCGAGCCTATGTACAAGAGGAGGTACAAAGGTCTCCTATGCCGTCCACCACCCGGGAAAACGTAATTGAGGGTTTGGCCGAGAATCGACGCATGAAGGTAGAGGATGATCTAGAGATTGGTGGAGATCTACTAAAGATTTCACAGCGTCATAATATTGAAGATATTGAATCAGACATACGCAGCAGGGGGAGCGATGTGACTCACCATAATTCCTCAGAGGCTTATTCTGTTTTGGGATCAGATCGGCGAGCTCCCACCATCCAATCAGAAACACGGCACTCAAGTTTGGGAAGGAGAAGTGGGAGCTGGGAAATTGCACCGGAGGTCCTTCCTAGCAACTCCGTGGTCACTGAGAGCAGAAACTATGCTGCTCCAAATGAAGTACACCATTGAGAGTGTAGCAATTACATCTGATTTAAATGCGCATGAGGTGTCTGCGTGGTTGATATTATTGTGGCGAATGCTCCATTTCTGCTCTGGGCGATGTTGCTGTCGATTAGAACGCTACTTTATGCTGCAGGGAGTCAAATTAACTCCCTTTTAAGGGGAAAAAATTTCTGTAATTCCTTTTTTTTTTTTTTTTTTTTTTTTTACTTCCTCTTTTCCTTCTCTGGAATGCTAGCTCGTCTTCTTTTAGAAAGCAGTCAATAGGAATGTGTGTAATTGTTTGAGAAGAATAGGGATTAGTGTTTTTATTTCTATTTTTCTTTTTCACTCTCTTGATCTTGCTTGTTGATGTGGATTGAATTTGTAGTGATGATTCTGTGTAAACAAATACCTCCTTGGGATTTGAATTTTTTACTATTCTTCCATACTGTAAATGTGTGCCCCTTGAGAAAACTTTTGGTACATTGGCATCTTGAATCTTGCTATGCAGTTGCACTAGTGATGATGAAATGACAAGATGTTTGTCACTTCATGAATTGTTGAGGTCACCTTATCTTGAATGGAGATATGTTTGATAATGTTATCATTAGGAGCATCAAATCAGCGTTTTAGATTTTGAATTAAATGAATACATATGGTCTTGGATTTAGAATCAGACAATATATGGTCTTGAACGGGTGAAGGGCTTTGATACGTTGTTGTATTCAACTTTGGAGTGCTTGGACAGTTGTTGTAATTGTTGATCCGTTAATTGAAGTGGGTTATATCTCATTCAATAAATGAAGTTAAATAATCGGTAGGATTATCCAAACTTGATAATCTACGTTTGACTAATTTGTAGGATTATCCAAAAAAAAAAAAAAATCTATTAGCTGAAGTGGGTTTCTTCTCATTCAATAGATGAAGTTGAATAATCGGTAGGATTATCCAAACTTGATAATCTACAAAAAAAAAAAAAAAAAAAAAAAAAAAAAAAAAAAAAAAAAAAAAAACTTAACAAAATTTGAGTTTGCTTAGAATTTTCCTTTAGATAAGCCTGGGACTACGTTATTTCCATTTATGAGTGTGGGCACATGCAAGACTTTGCCCATGTCTGGCTAGAGAGACTTTTCAATTCCAATTTAGGGAATTTAATACCATTGGTGGGCTTGAGCTACACACTTTCCAATTCAGCACATTTGAAGGCTATTTTTCAATGAAGAATAGTTCATGATGACTACATGCAATGAAGGAGAAAAGTACTCGTACACCTTATCATACCTACACACACAGACACACACAAATATGTGAGGGTAATGGCGGCGGCGGCGGGTTCGATTTGAGCATTTGATACTTTTTAACTTGCACGACGCTCGTACTAAAATATATTTCTTGATAGAAACAAAGGGCAGTTTCGTCATATGAAAAGTCGATACTGAAAAATGAAAGTGAAGCGGGGAAAAGAACATCAATTTTCTTGCATGCACATGTATACATGACACTCGTACTAAAACGCGTTTCTTGGTCGATTTTTATGTGCCGCTTAAACTAAAGATGGTTTGGTTAGATGAAAAGTAGATAGTGGAAAATGAAACTGATGTGGAGAAAGAAAAATCAATTTTCTAGTATGCATGACTTGTATACATGCATGGCACTCATACTAAAGTTTCTTGGTCGATTTTCATGTATTGCTAAAACTAAGGTGATTTGGTTAGATGAAAAGTCGATATTGGTAAATGAAAGTGACACGGAGAAAGAAAAATTAATTTTCTAGCATGCATAACTCGTATAAATGCATGAGACTCGTATTAAAGCTCCTTGGTCAACTTTCATGTACCGCTAAAATTAAGCGTTGTTTAGTTGGATGAAAACTCAATAGTGGAAAATGAAAGAAAAGAGGAAAAAAAGAAAATTAATTTTCTAACATGCTTGACTTGTATACGTGACACTCATGCTAAATCTTCTTGGTTGATTTTAATGTATCAGTACCGCTAAAACTAAGGGTGGTTTGGTTAGATGAACGGTTAATAGTGGAAAATGAAGGTGAAATAAAAATAATTTTTCTTTTTTTTTTGGGTAAGTAAAATAATTTTCTTTTTATTCGCTTCACTTTCATCTTTCACTGTTGACTCTTCATCTAACTAAACCATCCTTAGTTTTAGCCACAAATGAAAATCAACCAAAAAGCTTTACTAGCGTGAGTGACACGTATCCAAGTCATGCATGTTAGAAAATTGATTTTTGTATTTTGATTGGTAGATGAAAAGTTGACATTGGAAATTAATGAAAGTGGAGTGGAGAAAAGGAAACTCAATTTTCTAGCCACAAGGCTTGATTAGAAATACGTGATAATGTTTTGTTAGGAGTCATTGAATTAACACATGAAGAAATGTAGTTACATTGAATTTTTTTCAAGGCACCGAACATTAGTGTTGTCAGCTGAAGTTATCAACATAAGTTAACTATACACTATGTTCAACTTTTGGAGTGCTTGGACAATAGCAATTGTTGATATGCCGGGGGTGAAGTGGACTCTACTTCTCATCCAATGGATGAAGTTGAATAATCGGTACGATTATCCTAACTTGACAAGCTACATTTGACTTTGCTTAGAATTTTCCTTTAGATAAGAGTGGGACCTCACAAGTCACAAATTTGAAATTATCACGTTCTTTCCATTTATGAATGTGGGCACATACAAGACTTCGTTCATGGCATGTATAGACATTTCAATTCCAAATTTTATTTTACTTTTCAATTCCAAGTTTGGTAACGGGCATTTCCAATACCATTTGTGGACATACGTGATAATGTTATGTTTGGAGTCATTGAATTAACATATGAAGAAATTTAGTTAAATTAAATTTTCTCAGATTCTAATTTTAGGACACCGATTCATTTTCAAACAGAACGTTAATGTTACCAGTCGAAGTTATCAACATAAGTTAGCTATACATTGTATTCAACTTTTGGAATGATTGGACAATCGCAATTGTTGATCTGTCGGGTGAGGTGGACTATACTTCTCATTCAATAGATAAAGTTGAATAATTCGTACTGTCATCCAAACTTTACAAGCTACATTTGACTTTACTTATAATTTTCCTTATAGATAAGACTGGGACCACACAAATTTGAAATTACCACGTTCCTTCCATTTATGAATGTGGACACATACAAGACGTTTCAATTCCAAATTTTATTTTACTTTTCAATTCCAAATTTGGTAACGGGCATTTCCAATACCATTCGTGGACATGAGCTAGAGACTTTCCAATTCAGAACATTTAAGGCTATTTTTCAACATGAATGAATGAATGACTGCATGTCATGAAGAAAAGTACATCTTCTCATGGAACACACACAGACACCACACTTAAATATATGGGGGTAATAATGGTGGTGGCGGGTTTCATCTGAGTATGTGATACTGTGACCTGTATACATGAAACTCGTATGAAAGCTTCGTGGCAGACTTTTATGTGCTGCCGAGAATAAGGGTTGTTTGGTTAGATGAAAAGAAAATGAAAGTGAGGTGGAGAAAAGAAAATTCAAATTTTTAGCATGCATTTTCATAGATGTAGATCGAAAATGAAAGTAGAGTGGAGAGAAGAAAAATCATTTTCATCAATGGCAGTGGAGAAAAGAAAAATTAATTTCTAGCATGCATTTGATTATTTAATTAGATGAAAAGTTAATAGTGAAAAATGAAGCGAATCAAAGAAAAGAAAAATTGTATTCTCTACAAATTTTCATACTATATTTTTGTGTTTTCTGTTATAAAAAAATTATGAGAAAGTTGCTTGGTTTGTGATTCACAAAATTAAAGAATTACAAAAGACAATTCTTTGAAAATAAACCTATTCATAGCTGACTTTTTATTAAACAATTTTCGTAAAATTGCAGAAAACCAAGTAATGCATGATTTATCACTCAGAAAACGGTTTTCTAATTTTCAGTTCTTTGAAAATTAAAAAACTGTACAAAAACATTGTTTGTTTCAATTTTATGAAAACTAAAGACTATTTGGGTTGTCACTCAGGAATTGTTAAGAACTTAGAAAATAGAAAACTATTCTCAGAAAATTATAAAAGATATTTACTTGAAAACAAGCCTTTCACGAAACAATTTTTAAAAAATTGAACCAAATAGAATTTTTGTACATTTTATAATTTTCAGTAATTTGAAAATAGAAAACTGTTTTCTGAGTAATAAACTAAATAAACCCTAAGTTGTAAAAAGATCTAAAGACAGTCATCTGAAAACTGAAAACACTTTTCTGTTTTTTAAAAAAAATTTGAAAATTATTTTATGAGTGACAAACTAAGCAGACTCTTACTTTCCCTACAAAATTTTTCTTTTCCTGCTAATACAAACTCCTAAAATGTTATAAAATAATAATAATAATAATAATAATAATAAAATCTTCTTCTATTCCTTTTCCTTGCTATTTTCATCTAATTTAACAAGATGTATGGCTTCCCTTTTTGATGGAAATAGAATGAAAAACTTAGGTTATTTTCATTTTGACGATGGTTGTGTCAGGTCCCTTATAACACTTCATAATTTATCATTAGACGCATGCAATCTCCCTTTTGAACCATTATCGGAAGGTGGGAAATGAAGAACTTTACCAGCAGAGACCAAAGATAGCCCAAAAGAGTGAAAACATATTGCACTTCTCTTTCTCTCATGTCCAGTCCAATCTAGTCCCCCAACCCCACTTCCTATTTCTTAGGTTTAGCTAACTGTAGAGTTAGGAAGGGTAGGGGGAGGTTTAAATCCATTTTCAAACATTTCATTCATCATAGACAGACAGGTGTATGACTAAACCCTAATATGAAATATCAGTTTCATAGGACAATTAGGTCTAATTGAAAAGTTTGGTTTGAGTCATTTCTGTCAGAACAAAGTGGAATTAAAACTCACTTCATCTCTATTTCAATCTTCGTATTTTGTTCTACTTGGCTAAACTGAGTGACCCTTAACCAACCTACTACTCACCACCACCACTCTTACAATTGCAGGACACCTAACAACTTACTGTCTACCACATAATTAGATGCTTCACAAGCGACAATATATATATATACACACACACACACATACTTTCCCTCTACTAAAATACTTATTCATCTTTTTATTTTGAAATGTCTCAAAATACACCTCTCATTTCAAAAATGAATATACTATTTTTAATAACATTCCAAAATTATAGTTTTGACTAAACAAGTGCATTAATTGTTATTTTGTCTTTTAACAAGAATATATTTAAAATTTTATTTTTATCAATATAATAAAAAATTGTTAAAACTCCACTGCAACAAAAAGTTAGATTCCTCAACATGTCAAAAATTTTGAAATAAAGGGAGTATTATATAATCTGTGCATAAATAATATACAACAGGAAAGAGGTTCCATGTTCCCTAATGAAATATAAAAAGTGACAAATTCAATGCGCGAGATTTCAGCTATTGTGCAATTTGAAATGGATCAAATATACGCAATCTTGCCTTTGCATTTGGAGAGTGTTTCTTTATTTTGAACCCGTGATATTTAAATCATAATAAAAACAACTTTAACAACTTTATTGTTGCCCTTATAAATTAAGTATTGAAGAGTTTAAATTCAATATAAAGTTTGGTTGAATTGAACTATCAAATATTTTGTGTTGGTCAACTATTTAATAAATTTTTAAAATTTGAGCTCACCGTTATTTTTCATGCATGCTACAATAATAAAGGTGAACATTTGTGTTTGTAAGTCTTAATCGAGTCGTATCGATTTAAAAGTATTCTACTAAATAGTTTAATCTAAATTTATTTAAAATTATTTCAAACCCACTTAATACGTTTGGTGTTCGAATCATTTTGAAGTATTAAAAGATAAATTAACCAACTTTAGAATCATATACCTTTAGAAAGAAGATAAAGAGAAATAATATTAACCACGTGTTTAAATAAATTAAAAAAAAGTAGGTTTCAATCCCCGTAATGGGTAGGTCCCACTTTTCGTTTACTTGAAATAAATAGGTAATCAACCCATCTACCCACCACTTTAATTAAAGTCATTGACTTTAAGCACGTGTCAAAAACCAAAAACAAAAACAAATCAAAAAAACAAAAAAAAACTCACGGTTACAAACAAAAGCTCTTGGCGACTATATATGTACACACTCAACCGACGATATAGTGTGTGTCGATCTATTATATGCATACTTACATTCACACACTACATGAAATTATCTTCGCTCATTATGTATTACCCATTGTGTAACATAAAAGGAGTTTACCAGGTGATTTGACATCATAAAATAAAAATATAATATAATTATTAGATTAAGGTATGGGACATGATAAAAGATTTTGATTTGTAGACGCATTACGAGCTATACGGAAAAGTGATATATTATTAATTTTTGTACGGGATGTAACTTTTAATATACCGTATGTAATTTATCAAAATATCAAGAAAGGTGAAATGTGATTAACAAATCTTAGACCATGGCACGTGTTCGATCACGTGAGCACGCCACATGAGAGATTACATCCACGAATTTGTTAAATTATTAATGTAATGAGGATAAGTATTATTACACCACGCGTGGCGGCAGAAATTTGCAAAAATCTTAGAGCTTGGCACGTGTTATACACGTGGGGGGTGGGTACGGAGAGTTGTCATGATTCATACATATCTTCTAGACAGACGAAGAAAAGAACATTCTAGTGCCCAGAAAGTGACAATCAAATCTTCTTCAACACGTAATCTCAAGTAACGACACCAAATATAATATTCTATTATTATTTATATACATCTATATATAAATATATATACATATATATATATATATATATATATTTTCAATACTATTATTATATTCAGTACATAGATTTTGGTACGCTTCTAGATTTCTCCTCTCCCTCCATTTTTTTAACAAATTAATGCTCCGTACGACTTTAGACCTGATCCACTTTCTCTTCCCTTCTTCATCCTCAAATATATATATATATATATAAATAATTTATATTTTGTTATTAAGATTTAATTCATACATAGTAGGATGACAATTAAATGCGAGTAAGAGATCCTATATGTCGTGTGCGTGAATATATATATACACACACAGTATATAATATAATGTGCTTTAAATAATGGGATTTACATCAAGTTGGTCCACTACCATCCTAATTAGTAATAATTCCTTAAAGCCTTATATAATACATGTACATGTTTTTATATTATTTTTTTTACAAGGTAATAAAGTTTAAAAATTAAATTAATAAGTGTAAAGAGTTCAAATTTGACATTCAAAAATTTACTTAAGACACTATTTCACTGGACTATCAGATCAAAACATACTAAATGTCCTCAATTAGGACAACAATTGAAAATTTCATTTAAAACTCAACATGTGAACACGTTTTTTGGTGTACTTTAAATAAACTTTCTCCTTAAGCAATAGTTATAAGACATGTTATTCTTCTTTTTAATGTTGTGAAAGGAATAAGACCCACACTTTTTCGAGAATAAGATGGTTTTGATTGTAACCCATACGTTTTTTTTCTCTCATTACATATATTGCTGTAATCATTGCAGTTGACGAAGTTTTATATTTTTAGACTCAAGAGTAGACTGAATTGAAAAAAAAAAATCGAATCAAATTGATCTAGTTTAATTTATTTATGTTCTAGAGGAAGGTATGGTACAAAATTAAATGAAAAAATAAAATAAAAAATTTAAGTTCACATACAAATTAACGATTATTGTCACCACTAAAACCAAACATTTTTTGGATTAATTGTAAAGCAAAAAAAACATAAAACTCGATCCCATCATGTTTTTTAGTTTCTACATCATTCCATCGATAATTACGATATCGAAGTTGACAAAAAATCTTTGGTATCATGCCTAACAAGTGTTGTTTTGTCTTTTCCCCTCAACTTCATCCATGATAATATCTTCATTTCCATTACAATATGATAAAAATAGCATTAAATCAATGAAAACAAACTTACATAGTTACATGGAATACAGAGTACATCAAAATTATAAACCAAGAACAAGAAAATTTTCTGTGACTATTTCACCTCATCAGAAGAAAAAAAAAAAAAAAATGAAATCATAAGTATTTTTTTATCATAAAATTTTGATGTAATTTTAAAATTAAGAAATATGACGCGTAAGTCTTACAATCGGATCAATTCAACTGTATGTATGCGAATGGAGCCTGATCGAAATCAGTCCCTCTCACATAAAAAAATAGTAGGAATTGTCTCATTGATAGACTCTGTATGATGACTCTAAAATTAATCAACTTGAAGAGGGAGGAGGGTAGTGGCCGGGACCGGTCCATGGCGGAGCCGGAAAATCTGACCCACCGCCTCGATTTTGACTTTCCGGCGGCCGGAAGAAACCCCTTTGCTGCTGATCGGAGAACAACAAAGGATATGAAGAAGAAGGTGAAGAAACTGAAGATGAAGCATAAGAAGGTGATGTAGAGGAGGCCAAAGCCATTGATTGTGAGTGCAAAGCCGCCATTGATGAAGCCAAGAACATTTGCTGCAACAAGCTTGAAGGTGGTGGTCCATGAAAATCACTACTGCTCTGAAGCAGCTGAGAGTATTCCCAGTAGTCCCTAGCATTAATGTCCGAGCCCTGAAATGGCAGCTGGTTCTGGAAGAACGGCTGCACCGATGGTGTCGCCGCCAATTGGGTCGCCGGAGAAGCAGAAATGGGCAATTGGGTCGCCGGAGAAACTTGGATTGGTGGCATTAATCTGACATTTTCAGGGAAGTTGAGCTTGGCTTTGTTGCCTCTGAACCTCAGGGCAGCTTCATCATAGGCTCTGGCAGCTGCCTCCGCCGTGTCGAATGTACCTAACCAAACCCTAGCAGCCTTGTGTGGGTCCCTAATCTCCGCTGCCCATTTCCCCCATGGCCTCTGTCTCACTCCTCTGTATCTCCTCCTCCTCTCTCCTCCTGTTTCTTGATCATTTGAAACTACAGTACTAGTCGCAGTTGATGGAGTTTGGGGTAGTATGGTGGTTGTGGGTGGTGGTAAAATAGTTGTAGCTTCCTCCGGTACTGCGAACAAAGATATAGATTATAAACATATGCATTCATATACACACATCAAACATAAATGTGACAATCAAAAAAAATTGTCCTAGAAAGAATTATACTAACTAGTTGAGGTATATCTCATGAAAACCAAAATACATATGATAATACACTATTCATAGCTTATACATGCAATATTTCATAGTTTTCATATATATATATAAAAACCAAATATTATGTGCAATATATTATTAGCTATGTATATATTTTCCTTTTTTTGGTAAGTAAAATAGCTATTGCACATCATATTAATAATAGAACCCAAACAAAACAAAAATTAAAAAGTGCAAGATCACTATTGTGTCCTAAGCTATCGATTAAACCAAATTTTTAAATGAAAACTTTTTTTTTTCATAGATAATAGATATTTATGGGATTAGTTCTTATTGTATTAAGAAACACTGAATCAACGCATTGAAATTAGAAGAAAATTTTTGAATCAATAACGTTGATTCCGTGCTTCCAAATATAATATAATTGAAAATTAATTAAAATTTGAAGAAGGAAAAATAAATAAATAAATAAATAGTGAAATAATTGGATAACATAGTGTTGATCAAAACTAACCAGTTGTGATAGAAGATAACTCTCCGTGAAAACCTCTGTGATCACCAAACCCTCTATAAACCCTCTGAAAGTGCTCGGAAATCTGAGAAACACTACTACTCTCCTCTTCACGCCCTCTCTTCTGTCCACCCCACGAACCGGAGCTCGAAGACGAGTAAGTAGTAGAAGAAGGCGAGTTTGCTGAATAAAACCCCGAACCGCCAGCAAACGACGACATAACATCACCACCACCACCACCACCACCGGACCTCTGGCCGGAGACAACATGAGTCAACGCCGACACCATCGCCGACAATTCCGTCGACTGACCGTAACCGAAAAACATGGGGGTCATCGTTGTCACCGGTTGAGATTGTTGTTGTGACTGAGTTTGATGTGACTGCGCGTCTCCTTCATCCGTCGCCGGAAATCTGACGTTCTCGCCTGAGTCCCCTGGGTTCGCCACCTTTAACGATTAGCATATGTAACCCAATTCAATCCGGGCTGAGATTTGACAAAACAAGATCGACCCAGATGATATTTCGGAGAATTATCAAGACCCTTTTTCGGATTATTGTGAAAGAAAAAGGGTATATAAACAGATTGAGAATTCAAACTTTTGCAGCCGTCAGATATACAGTCTCCGAAGCCCACCACCTTTTGTGAATAATAATTGTTGAAGAGAATATAAAATCTCTCTTTTGTTAAGTAACCGACTCGGATGTGTTCACACGCTGGTTTTGACTGATTCTGGAAATGTTATGTGGATGTGATAATCACCAGCATGAAGCTCCCCAAAAAAGGTTAAAGGTCGGTAATATAGAGAGATAAGAGAGTGGTCGTGTTTGAATTGAGTTGCTTGACCGACATGTAATTTGGGGGTTAGTGGTTTCGATTTTGGGTTTTAATTTTAATGCAGTAAATAAGTTATGGGTATTTAATGAAATGGGCTTTTTAAGTTGGGCTTCAATATTGTTTACAATATCGGGTTTTACTTGAGTGAATTATTATTATTTATTATTATTATTATTTTTAATTTATTTTTTTAACTTTTGAAAAATAGTCATATTCATTGAATTTGGAGAGATGCAAATTACTGGCTTATGTGACATCATATATAGTATATACCTTCTTTTCTTTTCTTTTCTTTTTTGTTTTTTTACCTCTAATAAGGTTCATTTGCTTATGTTAGCAAAACCTACAAACTTGCTTGGTTTATAACTGTAAAAATAATATAAAAATCTCTGTTTAGTTCAGTTTTCAAAAAACTATAAAAATATCTATTTTAAGATAAATATAAAAGACTTATTTGGTTTATAATTATGGAAACAATTTTCTATTCTCAGAAAACTGAAAATAAAAAACTATACAAAAAAACTCTGTTTGGTTCAGTTTTTTTAAAACTGTTTTTTAAAAACTCAGTTATAAAAAGATTTGTTTTCAGATAACAGTCTTTTATAATTCTCTGAAAAATTCTCTGTTTTTTTAGAACTATTTTTAGATTTACAAACTAAATAGGTCAAAATTTGTTAAGCTGACCGAATGAGATCACAACATTTCTTAAGATATTTCTTTTCTGAATGTATGAAGTACGTAATCTGATTTGTTGCGTTTGTTCTCTAGAACAATTTTTTGTTCTCTGAATTCTGATAACCGTTTTCAGAATTACAAACCAAACAAGTTCTATATTTTTAATTTAACTCTTCCTTTCAATTGAAATAATGTAATAAATGTTTGGGATTATAAAGGAAAGTAATTTAACGTCATCCAACGAAAATGTTTGACAATTTGCCTAAATTATTCCATACCCTTTTCCTATTATAGGCTTTCATGATTCGTCTTCACATTAAACTCCTACATTTTAATTGACTTATTAATTATATCATTTCATCGGATATTTAAGAAGATTAAAATATTTTTTTCTTAAATTGGAGAGAAGAGAATTTTTTTTTTTTTTTTTAATGACAATTCGTTATTATTATAACACTTGACTATCTCTAATATGGTCAACAAAATCCACCTATATGTGTCTGACTTTTTGCATTTATATATAAATCCTTAGCATAAAGCGATCAAATTCATGTTATTGAAGAGGTGGTAATAATGCATAAGATAATTCAACAATGTGATTCATAGGTTACAAATTTATAACGCATTTACCATTTTCATGTGACACAAATGGTTGAATATGTAAAGAGTTTACCATTGCATCACCAAAACACCTTATTTCAATGATGATATTGTAATTGCTCTATACGATCAACACACGTCTCTGCTTATGGCATTGAACACTTTGAAAGTATCATCCAATATAATGCATTAATTGTACACAATAATAAATATGTCTTACTCGGTCAAATACCAGTAGATTAAGTCATACGATTAATTTAAGTGGATGGCGTTTATCTTTAGCATTTTTTTGTTCTGACAATGATTCTCTTACGGAGAGGAGAGGTCGTGGGCACTCACCAACCATTGGATTGAATTCTCTCAATAGTAATGATGTCATATTAATAATTGGTGGGTGTACAGGACCTTTCCTTTTTTAGAGATAATCTTTATTCCTTTCGCTCTCACATTTTACGTGTATTCTTGCTCAAATTTTCACTGTTTATGATTTAATTTTGTCGATTTTGTGCTTCTGCTCTTGAATTAGCTCCCACTCTTCTAGATTATTAGTTTTTTTTTTAAGTTCCTATAACTAGCGTATTTGATCCATTCAAAATTTTGAAAATATTTTTTCTTTTATAAATATATTCTAAAAATAAGGAGTACTAAAATCAAAGTCTCAACTAATTAAATGTGTGGAGTCCATTATAAAACTCACCTGCTTCAACGGAGCAACCGTCGCAATTGACAATTTTCTTTTTAATTATATTTTGGAAATTATAATCCAATGTAATAAATTTTTGTGTTTCAATAAAAGCATTAAAAATCCAATAATACACGTGGAAAAGAATATAGAATGTGAAGAACACGTGCGTTATTGTCGTCGGTGATGGGCTTAAAGATAACGGTACCTATTCCAACTAAATTTGTCATGTTTGAATTGCAGAACTCTTCAGCAAGTTTTATAAAAGGGAATGGAGACCATCTAAATTAAAGTATGACAGGATTTCCACATGTTCTCTCTCTCACACAAAAACACACACACACACACAGTACGGACAACTAGCAATGCAGCTGTTACAACAACTTACATTGCTTACTTTCAAAAAAAAAAAAAAAAAAAAAAAACCAACATCTTACATTGCTTATTTGGCTAAAAAATTAGGATAAATTATACTAACTTCCCTGATGTTTTGACAAATTACACATAAATAAATCGTTTTTTAATTACTTTGATCTCTCCTAAACCCGTTTGCCGATGCCGGAAAGTGATTAATACCCTTATATTATAGTAATAAATTGTACTCCCTCCGTCCAATATTAGTTTACAATTCAAAATTTTTGACACACTACCACTTTTTATTTTTGAGTCATTTGAGATTATTTTTAGTATATATTTATATATTACCTATATTCCATATTAGATGTCTGCTTCGTTAACCTTAACTCAAAAAAAATTGTGAGTCAAAATTTTTAGAAAGGATAACTAATATGGAATAGAGGTAGTATTACATTTTACGCACCAAAAAGCTATTGAAAGTGTGTTAATCGCAGAGCCATTGAGCTCCCCCTGAACGAATTATGCTCTCTTAAGGTTTTTAGCCCATTGTCCCAGCCCTCCAACTGGTACTACTATGAGGGCACCTTATTGGAGCAAGCAGCGCCCGCTGAAAGAAAAATGGAAGGGGCTAATTCCCGTCGTATTACTCCCTGAGGATGGGTTGCCACACGGGAATGGCAAAATTGTCTTTATAAAATTTGGTCAATGGATACGCCGTAAAGAAAACAATAATAAGGGTTCTGTTGTTGAGCACACGCTCGCCACATCTTAAGAGAGATTAAAATAATAAACGTTGAATAGACTACCCGTATGTAATTTGTTCAAACCCTCAAGAGAAGTGAATATAACCTGCCCACAACAAACAAATCTAAATTATAAAACAAAAAAACAAAGAGTTTTGGAATGAACAATAACATTGTCGATTATATGATGTAAAATTGGACATTAAAACTTTGAATAATCGTTTCAACGCTATACTATCGAATATACCTTCATATTAATTATACCACCCAAATTTTATATTGCTAATGGTTGTTGAATAAACAAATCATGGACAATTTTTTCTTGAACTCTACTTTTAGAATTGAATAATTTGTTGGTCAAAGCCGTGATTAATTATTACTGCAATTACTTATTTTATTTATTTTTAATTGTATATTTGGATATATGTGGAGTTTGCTACTTTATTTATCTGGACAAAGTTGATGCATTTTGAATTTATGTGGGGGTTACCCATTCTTTTTAATATTTTTTATTTGTTTAATAATTTATTATATATAAACGCAGTGCACACTCATTAAAATAAAATTATTGAGTTTTGGTCTATCTTCCGAGTTCTGAGAAGAATAATAATATTCAATCCCAAGTTAAAATGCAATTATAAATATAGAATGTTAGTAGAGCCGTACAGGAAAGAAAAAGGAGTTTGTCCCTGTGGGCTAGTGGCTGTAAAGGCCAAAATTAGGTCAAATTCAAAGTTCACATCTCCATATAAACATATATATAGATTGGATGAATTGCTTTACATGTAAGGTTGTGTCATTGTGTGGATTTCAACTATCTCTACATTTATCCTTAAACACACCTTTTTTCCTTTTATTAGTGTTCTTTTCTCCATCTCATATGGAATAAACATGCATGATGCAACCATATTTTGGTTCCTTCTATATATGTGTGTGTGTGTGTGTGTGTGTGTGTGTGTGTGTGTGTGTGTGTTTTGTAAGTGAGAAGACTTTACAGAAAGAACCAAAATATGGTTGCATCATGCATGTTTATCCCATATGAGATGGAGAAAAGAACACTCATAAAAGGAAAAAAGTGTGTTTAAGGATAAATATAGAGATAGTTGAAATCCACACAACCTTACATGTAAAGCAATTCATTCAATCTCACAAACTTTTATTATTATTTTTCTTTTGACTTTGTTGATTAATTCCACCCAAGTAGGTATACACTAATACATTTTTTTTTTTTTTAAAGATATATAATAGTACTGTCTAGTCGACTTTTTGGAATAATATATAATATATAAGACCATTTTACATGCAAATTTTTGAATCTATTATTAATGTGATCATAGTTGAAGCTACACACTTTTATAAGTTTGAAGACAAGCACGAATATTTTTACAAAAATATTTTTACAAACCATATCCATCTAAACTTATCACACGACTTAAAAATAATGTAAATAAAAATCCTGGAATTTACATATAAACAGAGTAATCTTTAACCCAAGAAAAAATGTGTACAGTACCTCACTGATTTGATATTATTGCAACCAATTTTAGGAATAATAATGTAACCTCATGTACATATCCTAAGAAACCAATATTTGCACTCCCATTTTTACATTACACTCCAATTATAAAAATAAATTAAAAAAAAGTACTAAAGGAAGTAAAGAAGATATAAAAAAATAATTATAAAAAAGGTTAAAATTTATAGTGAAAATGATATTATTGTATTATAAAATTATAGAACGATGTATTAATGAATTTATGGACTTTCTTGTCATTTCTTTTAAAGAAAAAGAAAAGTGGAGTGCAACTATAGAGTAGTGCATCTTCATTCAACTCTTTCGGTGATTCTATTATTTTTTTTTTTGTCCTTTCCTTTTGTGTAATATGCTTTGACTTTAGTTTTAGTTGAATTTTATTTTTTTTCCTTCTAAGATTTTTAAGAAATAATTTTAATGTCTTTGAATCTTGAAGTTTACCTTGTTGATAATAAAATAGAACTCTTCATGCTTTGAGTAAGAGAATTGTAGATACACAATAACATCATTTTATTCAAAAATATATATTCCTTTGCTTCTTGAGTCTGTTTAAGCCTAGTAACAAGTCGTTTTATTTCTAATGGATATTGTTTTTGTCGAATAAATTATTTCTTTTGTCATCATAAAAAAAAATAAAAATAAAAAAATAAAAAGGTTAAAGTTAATAGTGAAGATGATGGTTACGAGAGAAAAATTGAATGCAATTGTAGAGAAAGAGAGTACGAATATTGCCTCCCCGCATTCTAAGTATATGTCAATGGTCTTGTAACTTAGTGGTATTTCCTCTAACTCCCAAATTGAATAGTGAGGGTTGAATCCCCAAAGCGACAAATTGGATGTGCAAGTGGTGGTGTTGTGTTTCTTGCTCTTGAAAAAAAAAAAATTCTAGGTAAATAAAATTTTATTTTAATGAAAACATGAATTTGGAATATGAGAACCATCACTTGGTATAAAATAACTTATTCCATTCACATGTGATAGGAATGGAATAAGTCTTGGACTTGTAAAGGCGAGTAGGAAGTAACACCTAATAGCTTAATTTTTTTGGTCGAGCACAATACCCCGTCATGGAAAATTAGACCTAGTAACTTTGTTGGTAACGGTCATGTTAGTGAACCTGAAACTTGCAGATGGTTAGAGAAATAGCTCCTAGTCAAGAAATATAGACATCGTGGAGCAACCGAAAGCACGAACGGTGCAGGTGAGGGTCAACCATAGTCAGTCCATTGAAAACAACCACTGTTCAATGCCAGTATTTCATTCCTGTTGTAGATATAAGCATCTCACCATGAACCAATTCTTTTTTATGATGAGAATAAAAAATGAAAAAATTGCAATCAAGCAAGTACTAAGTTTCACAGTCTCACACTCGGAAGCACTTAACATGCAAAACAAACTTAACCATCCACATGAAAATGCCCAAAATTATGTTCCTTTCATTCATCGTCCAGTCAAATACGCCTAACACAAAATCATAGGCACCCTTTTTTCTGTTCCACACTAAAAATCAGAATATCCTAGGTTGAATTCAGAAACTATGATTTGAACATAGAACTTGAAAGCATATATATATATATGTGTGTGTGTGTGTGTGTGTGTGCAACTTGTACAAGTGGTGACCCTGGTCCAGAAACTCCAAGTGGCTGGTGGGGCTATGCAGACTTAGAAACCAATGAAACAAAGAAAAAAAGAATTCAGAGCCCCAGTTTTAAGTCTTCATGATCACGGTGGACTTATGATGGAAAGCAATATCATGAACAAGCAAGTCTTGCAATTTTGTCGTCTCCGGGTTGAGATTACCCGTTTCAAAGTTAGCTCGATGCTTGAATATATCACCATGAGTCAAAGCTGTAATATCAATTTGCAAAACTAAACACCCTTCAACAGAATTATTGCGAATCCGAAAATAAACCTAAAATCACCATCAGTCCGCATCTCTGATAACTGCAGATCCCGCAATCACTTCATAGTTCCTCCTGTCAATAGTCATAAATGCAGTAAAAAAATGAGCACTAATTACTGCTAATAAAGTAAAATGAACACTAAATACCGACCCATAGATGCGCCGGTGAGAGGAAAGAGATTGTTTTGCATAGAAGATAAAGACACAGGTTGACCGAAACTAACATGGAATGAAGTAATAAAAAAATGATTTTTAAAAATTAAATCTAGTAGGAGAAATTACTTATGATAAAAGAGAATCTATGCGGCCGACCCCGTATAAAGCCAAGGATGATGATGATGATGATGACAACGACGACGACGACGACGACAGTGATAAAACAACTAGCTTAATCTAAACAGAGTTGTGAATTAACAACTCAACCACAATCATGTCCAAGTTTTGACATTCTACTTTGCTATCGCTTTTCTTAAAGGGATGTCTATGGGGTCCAAGGAATACTAATGGATGTAACTTTTGATGGACTTCAAACTCACGCTCTCAGTGGTAGAATGTAGACTAATTTGGCTATATCAACTTGTTTAAACTGACAAAGAAAAGAATATAATCCTAAAGAAAGTAGAAAAAATTTATTTTAAGTACTTATAGTGAGATTTCTGCTTACGATACTTGTCCTATATCTATCATCTGTATGACTTTTGAGTTAAACACATGACTCACAAGGGAACTAAGCAACGAAACTGCAAACCCCACTAAGATTCCATGGTCGGTGTATTGGTGAAATGAGCGTGCCAATCTAACCTTTTCCTTGATCACCGTCTACGGAACTCGTGCTGTCAATCGCTAAACGAATATCTGATCATTTTAAACATGCTCTAGTCCTATCGTTTACCAAATGGAAAATAAAAGGTCCACTATTACAGAAAGAGCCAAACCAGAAGCAACTTGCTTGAGATCTGATAAAAACTAGAACATCCATGTTGAAGCCAACGGCTCAAAGTAAAGACAAATCAAACTTAAAATTCAACGTTTCAATTCAAAACAAATACTATTGACCTTTGAACAAGACAAATTGCAATAGCCATCGCCATCGCCGCCGCCTCCGAGAAGAAATTAAAAGATAAAAATACAAAATAAAATAAGACCAAAGTCTAGTAATTTTGTCCTTACCTTGGTCTTCTCCAAGTCATTCCACAAACTAACTTCACATGATACAGTTACTGCTCTGAACATTCACTTTGAAAATATAGTTCTTCTCAAATGATTTTTCAAATTTAACATCATTGATGAAGTCCACATAATAAGTACAAGGACAAATCACTTCAACAATAAACCATACAACTTTAGTATGTGCCACATAATGCAATACAATGACCCCAAAGAAGAAGAAGGAAAAAAGAAAAAAGTATCAATTCAGAAGGTCTGCACCAAAGGCCCAGTGGGAGAAAAGGGCCGCAAGGCCCATTAATGCACGATCTATTCATTAGATTCTGGCTTTGAGGAATTGCAGCAGCAGGACTTTTAAGATGATTAGCATGCATCTAATATTAGACTATGCATACAGCACCAACATGCCTTTTATAATTAACAAATCAGAGAAGGCAACTATAAGCGAAGGGCCGATGCCCAGTGATATCTCCTTTACCTTTGAAAATGAAGGTTGAGAGTTCGAGTCCCCATTGGGGAAAAGTGGGTGAGTTATTTGCCAGGAAAAAAAAGAATCATATACATACTTTTGTTGCATATTGCATTTCTAAGCCCTTGGAAAGAATATTAACTCTAATACAAAAACACTACTGGCAAATTCAGACACGTAATACCAAGTTAAAAGCTCATAGAAGAAGCAGCTATACAACATAACAGCCTAGCTAAACTATATCATGCTCAAGTTGGAACTTACACCCATCGCTTGAAGACTTCAACAAATATATCTATTTTCATTCTGCAGCAAAAAGATGCTCAGAAAAGCTGATCTCATGCTCCTGCTTGCACAAGGGGATTCTCAACTAAAAGCAACATTCCTTAGATTTTTAAACAAAGCACTTAATTCCACAAGTCATGCACTCATAGTCAATTTTTGCAGTAGACATACAACCTCGGCCTTCTGGTGTCAGCATTGTGATCCGCTCTTAATGTGTTACCCTGTTTTGCCAGAAACAAAGGTTTGTCATAACGAACAAAAGATTTTCACAGCAATGTCGTATTTGGACATCACCGCAGAAATGGTAACAATATGTTGTGCTCCAAATCATATTTAAAGATTTGAATCATATCTGTTGTCAAGAGTCTACCCGTTACAACTAAGAGGATTGTTGGGACTAACTAGTATACGATTTCAAAAGACAACAGTTGCTCCAATTGTTCATAATATGAAAATGAATGACGAATCATGAAATCAAATAATGTTATACTAGCATATTACATACTAATTAATAAATAAGTAGGACTCTCATAAACTCAAGTAAAATGACATTTGCTCCTTTTTTTCAAGGGTTGAGGGACTGCAGCACCAATCAACTGGGTTGGCACCTAAATACTTTAAATATTTGTATAAAATCACATTTGCTTCTTTTTCCAAGGGTTGAGGGACTGCAGCACCAATCAACTAGGTTGACACCTAAATACTTTAATATTTGTGCTACTCCACCCTAAAAATCGTAGATGAAACCCAAAAGGATAAAAAAAATAAAAAATGTGTTTGTACGTATACGATTTGCAAATAAGATTAGCTTCATTCTTTAGGTGAGCTATCCTCCATGCCTGATGATTTTTATAGGTAGATGTATAGTTGGCAAATGCTGGAGTAGATTTTCTTCAGAAAGTGTAGAATCAATTGCTTGCTTGAGGAATTTGGGTCTTGGGGATGACAGGAGGCTATTATAGCAGATTGATGAATTGTCCCCTTATGCAATACAATGATCATAAGGGGAGTTGTTAGAAAATTACGGTCCATAGCAGCAGGGACAAGATATTTGGGTCACTGTGCTCTGCGCCAAAATTTCAATTTTATTACAACTTTCATCTTTTTCAAGCAAAGGTCGATCAAGATAATATTCAGTTGCTACAAGCTATGACCAAAAGCACTAGATGATGTTAATCTTCTATTTGCAAATAATTTGCCAAGTTCGATGTCCAGCTTGATACGAAGTTGGAGCATACAATGCAGATGCCTTATCTTGCCATACAATATATTTGTTAAATTCATATAATTAATGCAGATGTAGTGGTAAACTGCTTGATCTGTCAACTGTGAGAGTGCGGGTTTGAATATTAAGCATCCACTTGTGCAGAAAAGCCTAATGTTATATATGTATCCAGTCTGTCCCTCCCAACATGCCCGATTAACAGGGACCACACTGGATAAAAACACTTATTCATAAAAATTATGTTCTAAGATTTTATTGAATATAAGGTTTCAACTAATTACTGCAAACCAAATTCTAATAAGTTTTGGGGGTAAATGCATAGACCCCCTGAACTACTTTTTGGCAGATTACTCCTTTGAACTATCAATTGGGCAAAAAATAAAATAAAAAATATTCAACTATTGAAAAGATTTTAAAGAATAATGGTTCCGCTAACAATTTTAATAAAAGTACTGAAATGCCCTTGAATGAAAAAAAAAAAATTGCAAAAGACCTTATCCCCTTGAAACATTAATTTGGCAAAAAATAACCCAAAACTATAAATAAATAAAAAAATGCAATCACTTCCACACTTCTGTTTGTTTTGAAAGAAGAACGGTTTTTACTAAAAATGACTAAAAAGGAGTTGACGGCTAACAAATTTATTTAATAGAACTCTGGAGGAAGGCATGATGCCCAATGAGTGGACAAAAAGTACTATAGTCCTAATGGGGAAATATGTCTTATTTATAATTTTACCTAATATTAACCACTTTTTAAATTTTAACTAAATTACCAAAATCTAAAATTCAAATTAAAACCAAATATAAAATCTCACTCAACCCATCATGCTAATCATCATACCAATCAAACATTAATAATTAAAGTCTAAAGAAGTAAAAAGCATGGAAAAGGACACCAAGATTTTTTACTTGAAAAAGCAAAACGAAAAAAACCACGAGACCTAGTCCTAATCCTGGCAGGAACAATAGCATTAAAAGCCCCATTATATATATATATATAGATATACCAACGCAACTGATCAAAAGTACATAAATATATATAGATATACAAAAGCATCAGAAAATTTAAACCATGGTGAAATGTTCAATAATACTTGAAACCACGTTCTTGCATAAAAAAGTTTTAGAGAAGCACAGGTACCAAATTGTAAGACATCAAATTGATATGTTTTGATCGTAGAATCCATGTCATCATAGTGAATTCCAACAGCAATGTTCATCAACATTTACTGCAGTATTTACAACTTTCCTATCAAACTTAAACAGGTTAAACCTTTCAAGAGTTTTGAAACCATTACACCATTCTGAAGCCAAAACACCTTGTGAATTAACAAATCTAGTCACATGTCAGTTCAATTGCAATTAAAGTTGGTAATGATCAAGGAAACAGCAAACCGATAGCTGTCAGTAAACAATTTTCTTGCTACACTATTGATACAAATTATTACTATTATTATTATTATTATTACATTTTTGCCAACAACAGTTAAACAGTTGAACAAAAATAGTCACCAACCAGTACTTTATAAATTTTTACCCCTATCATATATATAATATATTCTGAGCACCTAATCTCATTTGATTTCACAGCAAAGAATACTTTTTACATTGGTACAGTGATTGGGAAGGTAGGCGAAAAGAGTATATTTGAACTCATTGCTATGAAACCTAATATATATATACATAAATTATACACATCATATGAATCTCAATTATGCACTTCCTCCTAAGTGCAATAAAATACCTTGAACAACAAGTTCAATGAAATTTATATCATCAATAAGACAAAACAATAATTTCTATGGATAGGCTAATGAAAGACACTATAACTTTCTACAAGAAGTTTGCATGTACCTTCAAGATAATTCCAAAAATATCATCTGAAACAAGAGGAGCCTTCTGCCCAGACTTCTTATCATAATGGTTGTACATGACCTCATTCCTGCATCAACCATCCATGCAAACACATTTTTTTTTTCAACATATATTCATCAAATCAAAAACAAGATTAAGTGAAATTCAATTACACGATATAAGCAAGTAAATCAACTAATTCGCCAAATTTATTGATTATTTGATACCCATAATTAAAGTAAAATTTTTACTTTTATTTTTTGGGTAAGAAATTTTATTATAAAAAGAAAAAGAAATAATATAAAGCTTCTCCGGATTTAGAGAATCTAAAACCAGAGAAAGAAAAGCCTAAAAGGCACACACACCCTGAGAGAATAAAAGGCTAGTCCAGCGCACCAGGTTCCCACCACTTTGCAGTCTGGAGAGAGTTCGATGTACGCCGCCATTACGCTGTTACTTGTTTCAACCCGAAACCTGCCGCCATTACGCTGTTACTTGTTTCAACCCGAAACCTCCAGCCCTCCAAGTCACAATGGAGCAATCTTAGCTTTGTGCCAAGGGCCCCCTCACCCTGAGAGAATAAGGAAAACTACAAAATCAAACCAAACACAACACAGACTAGTCTAATTGCATATTAAAACTTCTGGAGTGTGATCACAAAAAATCAAACCAAACACAGACAGTTCAAATTCAACTGACCCAGATAGGGAATTCAAGTGGGCATTCATGCCAATGCGCTGTCTAGCTTTGTGGTCCTGGCAGTGCCGCAGACGCCAATTCCCGGAGTTGGCCGGTGATGACACCTTTTGTAGACATCAGCATAGACCTTCTGGGCCACAAGCACCGGACCACAGTGCTCCATTGCTGCCGGTAACTCAGCTACATTTTGTTCCTCCAACAGAAACCATTAGAGGAAAGTTTCAGTGAGTGGGACATTTCGTCGAATGGCTCGGACGCAAATGGGTTGATGCAATTTTGTAGTTATATACACAGGTGATCATATTTAATGAGGTAGTGTGTGTGTGTATATATATATATGAATATATACAGGGGTTGAGTGAGTGAAGACGAGTGTCTGAGAAGGAAAAGCTATGATTTGATGTCAATGTTTTGAATATCAGTTTTGATTTGGTATTAGAAGTTCACTCGCTAACAAAGGGTCATCGAAATATCGAGTTCGGGGTGGTCGGGGTTTGCATACAAAGGTCGGTACTCACTCGAACCATGATCGTTGATCTTCAATGCCGTAGATAGGTCCAATCAATAAAACATTGGCGTGGTAAGTTTTACTTTATTGGAAAAAATTAGTTGTTGATTAGTAGGACCGCCAGCGATGTGCTTAGTGTTCGCCTTTCTACATTGTCAAGTAAAAAAAAAAATTTAAAAAATAAATAACCAGGTGTGGAGGAAAATACTTCTCCGCCAATAAAAAGACAACACATCATCATTTGAGGGTTCACTGTAAATACAAAGATCATTCAACTCTCAAACTGAGCCTTGACAAACGGTTTGGATCAACCCAACTGGGTATAACGGGCTAAATACATTAAAAAGACCCGAAACAATAGAGTTTCAGGCCCAGACTACTGAATCCATTTTTAATAGTAATTTTATTAGAAGAAAGATTGTAATTTAAGGAAAACAAATCATGTAAATTCTTACGATAAGGATAGTATATTATGATTGAGATTCTAAAGGGACAAGCAATACTAGTCCTAAGGACTCAATTATCTATGAATTATTTATAAATATAGGTCAAGACCTCGAATAAAGAGAGATAATTTTTGCTTAATAACTTTTAGCCTTAATTTTAATAGTTCTCTCATTATTTTAGTTGTGGTTCAGTTGTGTTTTTTTAGTGTTGCGCACGTTAGGATTGGCAAAGAAATTGAAATTTATAAAAATATTATTAAAAAAATTCATTAAAATACTTGTCTCTCTTTTCTTTCCTTAAACATGATTAATATTATTTCTTTTTCTTTCTTTTTATTAATCAACAGATTCAACACAATATATATGGTTAATCTGTGTTTTCTCACTTCCTACCTTTTCTTTCTTTCCTAATTAATTATATATTCTTCTTCTTTTTTTGCCTTTTCTTTTTTACCAAACATAGCCTAACTACCATTACTAAGAAGTCTAAAGTTATTACCCTATGTATTTCGAGAGATTCAAACCCCTTACATTTCACATTGAAAGAAAAGAAAATACTGAGTGTTACGCATATTATTTTTTCTTTAGAGATTTTTAATCATGATCATATAAATTGTAATTAAATAAGACCTAATTTAACTTACTTTAAATTATATTTTTAAATGAACCCAATTCCTAAAATCAAACTGAACCAAAAAAAAATTATATGATTTGGATTTTTTCGATTTAAACCATACTACTAAATATTAATTAGTTCAATTTTTAAAAAATAAAAAAGAAGAAGTTAGAATTAGTTTGATTCTGCTTTAATCTCTAAACAGTTAAAAGGCATTTTCTCTCCGGATTGAGATTCCGAGTTGACTCATTTCAGACTTGAAAATGTTTTGTCGGCGATTGCGAAGCCAAAAGTCCTTACAACTCACAAGTCTGCAACGATAAATCCTCTATTCTTCTCTATCTCTCCGCAAAATCTCTCTCTCTCTCTCTCTCTCTCACACACACACACACACAAACTGGACACTGAAATGGCAGAAAATAAAGAATCCACGTCGTCGAGTGCACTGGGTCAAGGTGCCCCTGTTGAAGATGCCGAAGATCATGCCAAGTCTCCTCCTAATTCCCCCAATTCTTCCACTCGTAAGGTCAAATCTCTCTCTCTCTCTCTCTGTATATATATATATATAATATGAAATGGTCATACATTAGTTGATATATGTTTCCCCTATATATGTTCATTCCACTGTAAAACCCCAAGACTCATGGATCTGCTTTGGTTTCCAATCATCGTTTAGCAACAACGATTCACCTTGTGCTATTGGATTTCCAATAAAATGTTATGTGAGATGATTGATTTCACGCAATTTTACTCTTAGATGTTAGTATTGAATTTAGTTACTTCTAATTGTTCACGAAGAACGACATGGTGGTCAATTATCTTTGAATTAATGGAGTAATTGAATGCACAAACGCAGGAAATATTAATTTAAATGCTAACATTTGGAAGCTTTTAGCATAACTACAGTTTATGTATTAATGTAAAGTTAGATGTGCTTAGGTTGCACAATGCTAGGTTTTGTTTAGGTGTGCCATTGCGCAAAAGAATAAGTTGGATTTTTGCGGGCACTGTGAGAGGTTACAGATAATAAATCAATGAACTGGATGTGATTGTTCCTAAATGAAGTTACAAATTATTTAGGGTGTGTTTGGATAATTGGATGTGCCCTAGAATTTGTTGGGCCCCTTTGGAATTTCTACGGCATTTGAGATGAAGTTTAATAACCTATAATAGGCCATTAAGACAATCTGGATACCCATAAAAAATATATATAAATTAAAAAAGGGGAAATTTGGATACATTGTCATATATCTAGTATGTGATCACTTTTAGGTTTCTTTCAGCCACTAATTTTAGCAAATGAAACTGATCCCATTTTATCCAATACTCATTATATACCTTGAAATGTTATGTAAATGTCAATGGGATCAATCTTTTTTATGGTATAACAATACCACACTTGGTAATAGCCATTCAATGGATGCACAACTACTGAAGGTGATGATACTAATAGTTAGATAATGTGAATCAGTTAGTTGCAGTAAGGCTTGGACGGCAATGGTGACTCCCCCTCTCTCGTGTGTGTAAGAAGAGCGCATGCATGTTTTTAGAAAATTAAGGAAAAAGATTCATTCATGCGTGTGCGCACCTGTTTTTCACCCAAAAGAGAAATGAATTGTGATGTCTGACAGCATGACATTTAATTTGAGGAGTATATAGAACGGTGTAATGCTAATAAGTATTCCTATTTTTGGTAGATCAATGAAGAAAAGTAAGGGATGATCTAAAAGTAATGAAAACCACCAAATATTATTGCATATGAGGGAATGCAATACAGAAGGGCTCTGTTCAATTTAGATTGATTTTGGAGTTTGTACAACCAAGTGCCAACATAAATATAAAATTTTCTGTCATCTTTCAATATTATAATATAAGTATTTATAATATTAGTTCAGGTCTGTTGTGTTTTTTATCTTAGTTGACCAACTACTGGTATCCCACTTCTCCCATAACTATTAAAGAACCATCTGGGTTCTTGCTATCAGGTTCTCTCTCTCTCTCTCTCTCTCTCTCTCTCTCTCTCTCTCTCTAGGCTTCTCTCCACTAACTTTTACATTATAATTTATGCTCTTTTTATCTATCTATTTTTATTTGCTTTATTTTCGGTTTTACATGCGGTAATTATTGTATTTTTTGGCTGATTTTCATTTTGATTATATATTCAATGAAGCATGGTTCGTTTAAGGAGAGTTTTAGAGTAAAGTTGCTATTTTGCATATGGGCATGCATACAATAGCAGCACTCACGAGACAAATCCACGGTTTATGAATTGAATGAATCATTCTCTGTTCTTACATGCATCATACTTGACATATAATTCATGGTATGGCTAGCAATTTCATTCATTATGAGCTGTCCGTGTGTAAATGAAAAACTTTATACTTACAATACACTTTATATGCATACATTGACAATAACTTGTGATACTAATTTATTGGGTACTTCGTTCGTAGTTATTGTCCTTGTATATCTCTTTCCTTTTTTTGCCCCCATGTCCCCATATATGACATAAAAAACTTCGATGCATTTCTCATCATATTGACTCTAGCATTTGGTCAGGCTTGCTATGCAGTTCTTCAAAGTTGGGTTTCAAAGAAGTTTATGACTGGATGGTAACAAGATTAGCCATTGCATTTTGAATATTTCTTTATTTATTTCCTTTTTTCTTGTCATTTTTTCCTCTTTTAATTTTGAATTCAAACTGTCATTGTAGTGTGGTTCTCTTTCCTGTGGCTGTTACATTTTTTATCACGTGGTGGTTTATTCAGTTTTTTGATGGCTTCTTCAGTCCCATTTATGACAGGCTCGGCATTGACATATTTGGTAAGTCATCAAAGCCATGTCCCATAAATTAGGTGAACTTTTACTTTACCAATCGGATAGCTACTGATCGAGTCACTACAGTTCCCATAAAAACAATCAATCCACTAACTTGATTGATCGAATTGCTATTGTTTCAACTCCATACTCACCAAAAAAAAAGAAATTATCTTATTTTTAAGGATCCTTTAAGTCATGTGTAGGTCTAATTAGTCTACCCATCAGTTAACCTAAATCTTATGGCATCTATGTGCTACATACTACAGTGACTATGAAAATCTAATTAGTCTAATCGAGCTTTGTGCAATCACATTATGATTTTTGGCAGTCCTACTACTCTTGGGGTTATCCAGAGGCATCAAGCTAGTGGTCAAAAAAAACAAATTATATATATATAAATATAGTGCCTTATCCACTGCTGAGATTAACAACCCTTTTATCCTTTGAATTTGTTTATCAGTGTTTTTGAGTGGATATCTTGTATTGTAATTTGGGTGGTGCTCTATCTGAAAGGCAGTCAGTTCTTCATCTCAAATTCACATGGTATATTTGGCGCCGGGCTTTAAATAAATAAATAAATAAAATTACATACACTGGTCCAGGGGAAATGCACTTCTAACTTTGCTTTATTATGTAGTATGAACTTATTTTCATTCTTCGCGGCTTGGTTTTCTTGGGGTCTATGTACGCCTCGTGTGTTTATTTATGGATTCATCAAAATATATTCGAGTGATTACTTGGGGTCTATGTAGGCCTCAAGTGATTACTTACCAGATACTTTCTTTGATTTCTTCTCTTTTCTATTTCTCTCTTCTTCTTTTTTTGGTTCCTGATACAGGCCTCGGATTCATTACGTCAATAATTTTCATATTCTTTGTCGGTATATTTGCTTCGTCATGGGTGGGTGCCACCATTTTCTGGCTTGGAGAATGGTTTATTAAGCGAATGCCCTTTGTAAAGCACTTATACTCAGCCTCCAAACAAATTAGTGCTGCCATTTCTCCAGGTAATGCCCAGTGTTCTGTTTTCTTATTCAGTTGTTACCTAACTCTTAGTTGTTTGATGGGATTTAGAGAAGGGACACAGTTGCATCAGATCGTTTTATGGTTTTTATGTTCCATTATTATAGCCATGGTTTCACTTATGAAAAATGATGTTCTAAGATAAATGATTAAAGTTGTACTTTCTGTTAATATTTGTACTATGTAAATAGTGATGTTTTAGTTATCATGATTTTTTTTTTTTTTTCCTGAATATTATCATGAGATAATAAAACTAAAGCCACCAGAAGAGACAAGGTTTGCTGCTTCTGATCTAGACATTTTGTGTATCATCATGGTTCCGTATCTTCTGTGTGATACCAGCCCCTGAAATTTAAAGAATCTTTTAATTGATATAGAAGCGTGCACCTGCTGAACTTTTTTTTTAGCTATTCAATTTATAATTCATTGGAGCGTATTCGTCAAGAGGCAAGTTCATTGGTTGATAGTGTGATCTATGGAGGAGGACTTGGTCCAATTCTTTCTTTATCCAATAACTCACTCACTATTAACATGGTTTTTTTTTTGTCTGTTCTACTTGTTCTTGCCAATTCATTTTTCCAGCTTAACATTCTCATCTGATATATATTTGTTTAATGAGTGGTGTTAGTTTTCTTTGACTAAATTAAAGTTTCCATTTAAATGTTGAGTGACAGTTTGCATTTTAACAAGAGAGGTCAATCTTTAACAATGGGGAAGTGGCTATTGATAAAAACAGATGTTTTTCTTATTTGAGGAGACACTAGGAAGTAAAGAGTGTCTGATTCATTGGCATGGTTAGATGATCAATGTGTATTCATAAGCATGTGAAGTGTGGCGGTCAGATGATTTATACATATTGAATCTGTCCTGGCACTTGTTGGAGTTGCTTTCGGGTGTTGATCTTCCAATGAACCTCCAGTTGGTTGATTAATCCTTTTTTTAGAAAACCACACAGGAAAATTATTTTTCCTAAACACTGGAACCTTAAGATTTTGGGTACCGGAGTCCTTAAAAATCTGAGAAGGAATATCACTGAACTGAACAAAAGAAATTGGTCAGAAGCATGGATATGGGACAGGACATAGATACAAATTACAATGTAAGTAGGATGCAGACACGTTGAAGACATGGCAACAAAGTATATGTTTTTATATAAAAATCCTATTATATGTAGCAAATAAATATTCTATGATAATAACCTGAAATTTTTAATTTATGGTCATATAATCATAATCACCCTTTCACATAGACAGAGATAACAAGGACTGATATATTTTTATGCATACGTTTGTGCCTGTTATGTAATATTTAAGGTGGTCAGGATATTGACACATGTCCAAGAAGTGCCGACCATTTGTAAATTATGAACACGTCTACGATGTGTCAGGCATGTGTCCAGAGTGTCTGAGAAGTGTCCAACACGGACCTGGCTCCTTATCAGAAGTGTCAATGCTTCTTAGTTTCTTGAAATTTGGGTCTAGTTGGTGTTTCCTAAGACCTAAGCCATCATGGGAGCATTTTGGTGGTGACACTCATGAAAGTGGTGGTTTTCTAATGAGGATGCGGTCATTCTTTGGGCTAGTTGTTTTTCAGAGTTTCCTTGGTTGAAGGGAAGAGCTGAATGTTGTTTGGAAGGTGTGAAAGGGGTGAAATTTAGTTATATGCTATTGCTCTCCTGATTCTCACTTATCCACCTTTTATTTTGTATACTTCCTCATTTTGACAGGTTAGATTTGAAAATTTCTCCATAAATTACTCAGGTAAAGGATCTTAGTTTTTATTACTATTATTTTATTTTCTTTCATAGTCATTATATACCCAACTTTGTTTTAAGTTATTTCTGAAGGGATTTTCTAACTAGGTATGTGATGTGAAATGATACGCTGAAATTGTTGAATTTATTTGAAATTCTTAAATTACAAATATTGTTCCTTGGTTGTGCTTGATTTAATTAAAATATCAAAATATCAAAAATCTCATAAGAATCCAGAACTTTATTTGATTTATACTTTTGAATTTTGAAAAGTCTTTTCTATGTGGCAATGGACTAGGTAATTAATCCCCTCTTTTTTTCTTACAGACACAAATACCACTGCTTTTAAAGAGGTTGCGATCATCCGTCATCCTCGTGTTGGTGAATATGCATTCGGTTTTATCACATCATCAGTTGTTCTTCAGGTACTTGCAGCTTCTTTTTCTGGATGACTGCTTTTACTTATTGGTGGAGCAAACGCCTTTTTGGGGTGGGGTCCAAAAGCGTGCTTACACAATTGGTCAGTGGATAATAGATCTTCATATCCCTCATGAACTCTGCACCTTCCCTTAACGAAGTAGCATGGAATGTCGTCTGAGCTGAATTGATGGTACTTCTAGATCCACCTGAGGGCTTCAAAATATTCTGTTTGTGAGATGGTGTTTTATTTCTTGATGGCAATTTAAGAGTTATTTAGCTTGGCAACTAGAGTTTGTTCCTTGGTGAGAAATTTAAGCAACAATACTTTGAACGAATTGGGAAAAAGGCTTTGTTGAGTTGAGTTCATACGTTGAATGAGAAAAGATATCAATCAGTGGAACTTTAGAAAGAACAAATAAAGAGACAATACATCTTTGATTCCACCAAATACCATGTATCACTGTTTCTACAATCCTATTTTGGAATTCAAGTTTAAGCTTGGAATTATAGGACCAATCAAGAAGATAACTAAATACTTCTCTCAAATCTTGCAAAGAACATTGATGCACTTGAAATGGTTATTTACTAACATTAGATTTCTGTGTAAAAACTTTTAATGTAGAAATTTGACGTCACTTGAATGATGATATTCTGCTGCTTAATTTGATTTTCAATTTGTTAATTGCAGAGAGATAATGGTGATGAAGAGTTATGCAGTGTTTATGTCCCAACAAATCATCTTTACATTGGGGACATATTTCTGGTTAATTCCGAAGAGATCATAAGACCAAATTTGTCTATTCGAGAGGCTATAGGTTGGTCTGTTCTTTTGACTACATCCACCCATTTCGTATTTATGTTTTTAGCCATGATGCTCTTTAAATAAGATGTGATTGCAACACTACTCTTGGATACATAAAAGAGCATTTAACATAATGCTATTGGATTTCCTTTCCAGGTTTTGAAATTGGATAGTCAGCTAAGTCAATTACTTTTACTTTTATGATATGTGTGACCCTTGTACTAGGGTTTCAGTATTTTAGATTGGGTTGATGATGCTAATGATAATCTTACTCATTCATAAGTCGCAAAGAAACTTTTCGTTTTATACCAAAATTCACATAATTTTTTATTGCATGCTTATGGAATTTATTGACATTTTTGCTTTCCTTGTATCCAGAGATCATTGTCTCTGTGGGTATGTCGATGCCACAGATGATTTCTCCTGTAGAAAGGGTTCCTCATCAAAACGATAGGATCCCTCTTAACAGAATGATTTGAAAGGGAATATCGTCCTTAAGACATGTAAGAATGTGATTCTGGAACCGCTATGTCTTGTATTTTTAAATGCATAGTCATAAACGTTTTGTTTTTAGTTTTATAATTCAAAAGGAGTTATTCGGTAATGTGGATGGTTAACATGGATGTTTTGTTCAGGTTTTCATGATTAGAGAATTACTTGTTCATAGAATGCACTTCTGGGAAGATGAAACCATGTTTGGTGGTGAGACGGAAATCTCATTATAGCAAATTTACTTTAGATACTACGTTGCTTGTGTTCCTTGTAGTTTTACTTCTGTCCCTGTGTAAAAAAAGTATGGAAATACTGGAGACTGTTTTCCTTTTAAATTTCATTTACCATTGTCATAACTCTCTCTCTCTCTCTCTCACACACACACACACAATGTTACAGATGGGTGAGCCACATTAGGGTTGTTCAGTGGAACCAAATACGAGAAAATAGATTATATTTAGCAGAAAATGTTTTACATAAAAATAAATGAAGGGAACTGTAAGTGTAATATATGTAACGTATATGCTTGTAATATATGTAATACAAATGTCATTATAATCAGTATCCCATTTCTCTTTCATGTCAAATAGTCAAATTGCAACTCCAAACTAAATATCCAATATGAGTTACCAACGCCATGCAGAGAGATCCAGAACCTTTGTGTTACAAATGCTTGTGCAAAGCTTTGTTTGGCTTTGCAAAGAAACTCCTAAACATATACATTTCTTTGTCCCACAAAATTAAGCTTGTAGTTCATCTTTGAAAATGCGTTCTGGATTTAATGGACTTCCAAACGGCTCCGTTGGACTTGAAAACATACACCTGCTGAAGTCGGGTGAATACTTGTTTTCGTTGGTTTCAAGTCTATTTAATATATTATATTACAAGAAACAGTTGAAGCAAGCGGCTGGAATAGCTCAGTTGGCTAGAGCGTGTGGCTGTTAACCACAAGGTCGAAGGTTCAAGCCCTTCTTCTAGCGGCTTTAAATTTCATTTTTCCTTTTTTTTTTTTAATGTCTTTTTTACGGTTTTTTCTTTTATTTACACAAGACTATAAATTAACTACTATATCATATGAATCAGATGATGATAGCTCATGTAGAATATTATTTTTTTAGGTTATATAGAACACTCTTTTCTTTATCTTTAAGGCCCAGTTTGGTTGGAGGTCATTGGAAGGAAAAGACAAAAAGAAAGGTAATGGAGGGAAATCAAATATTGCGTTTGGTATGAGTTTTTAAAGGAAAATAAAGGACATGAGGGATTCTGAGGGAAAAAAATTACATATGATGTGTTGGTTTTGTTACCTTTCCAAAAATGGAGGAAATGGAAGATAAAGCTAGCATTTTAATAAAATTTTATTAATACCAAATTTGTTCTTATTTTTATAAAAGACAAAATCTATGAAAAAGGGTATAATAATAAATTCATTATAATACTTTCCCAAACGTGATTAGTATCATAAGTGGTTAATTATACCATCTCTTTTCATTTCATTTCTTTTCTCTCCTCTCCTACCAAATCTTAATATCTTATCATTTCTTTTCTTTTTCATTGTACCAAACATAACCTAAATCTTCACGAGGACACCAAGAAAATCACAATATTAAAAATATCTCTACTTCATGATTATGCTTTTTGACTGTATGACCAAGGTGCAAGACCAGAAATTGCAGCACAAACCAAGTTGACAAGTTAAAGATACAATATCCTTTTCATGATGAAATTGCAGAAGAAAGAAAGAAAAAAAAAAAAAAACACTCCTTTTCAAGAAGTAAGAACTCGTTGATTATCGCTCATACCACAGTATGAAATTGTATAAACGTTCAAAATAATTTACCTGACAAATTTACATATGATAAACATCTATTACCAAAATACAAGACTACACACAGGATTTTTCTTCGTAATAAAAGAAAGGATAAAAGATATTAGCGCTTCCGTTCTGCTGTAGGGGGTAGCTTTTCTGACGGTCCACAAGGAAGTTTCTGTCCAGTTTCGCGCTCAATCTTCCACTTCAACTCTCGGAGTATTCGAATTTGACCCAGCTTCTCCGGGGACAGTTTATCCCAATAAATCCCTGTGGTCACAGAATTAAAATGGTTCATTCAACTGAACATCATTTTTCAGTTTTAATGAATAGCAAGCAGCATAGATCAGACAAGCTCATGCCTACTGCAACAATTAAGATTGCTCATGTCAAGTGTCAGTTTGTCTCGTAACGGGAGGATAAAACACCTGGCAAATTTATTTATTCAGCATTTTACAACAACCCACACTTCGACCCTTTCAGTTAAAAAGTTAAGAAGAGCTCCTCGGCTCGGTTTATAAGGCCATTTGATCATCCTACTGAAAGGAAGAATATGAAGCCAAACAAAATTTCATTCTCACTGACCTTGAGGTTTTGGGATGCCTGTGTTGGTAAAAATAACTTGAGTCGGAGTGCATATAATGTCAACTGGCACATCATGGATAAGCAGCTTCTCGACTGGAATATCATCTACCAGTTGTTGGTCGTGCACTGCAAGAGCAGTTCAAAAGTTACATTTGATGCAACCGAGAAAGAAATATCTCAAAGTTGCATTTGGATTAAAAGATTCAATATCGAGTTAGTTCAAAGTAGTTCAGTGATAATCAGTTGAAAAAGGTAGGGGATATAAACATATAGACGATGTCTTGCATATACATATGTGGAGTCCAATCACTCAACTCAAACATGATCTTCTCATCTACAATGACCCTTCTAACAGATAGTACTAGAGATCATAATTGGTAATATACTACTTGGTATAGTTTCTTGGGATATTGGACATCAAATTACTACAAAAAGGGATCCTAAAGTCTGAACTGCAGAATTGAGTTTGATACTGCAAATCCCATTTTCCTGCACTTATATGGCACAATTTTGCACCGGCATGTGTAAAATTAGTGTACAATGTAAATTCTTGTTGAAAAGATACAGGAACCTTTCAAAAGGAGGTGTGGAAAATCGGGAAAAAAGTCAAAGAAATAGAGCTTGCCAGATGTGACAACTGGAGTGGAGTCATCAATTGCACCCATGTACCGCAGCATCCCATATTCAAGTTCTGCAAACCCCTACACACATTGTTCAGAAAGAAAATAACTTCCCAGAAACCCTGAGTTTAATGGTGTCAAACTTCCATGAATTCATGAGCATCCACAGAGTTGAAATTCAAAATGCTATATAAGACCATCCAAAATGCTTCCATGAATTTCCAAAAAATGAAAAAATGAACCCTTTTTTTTTGTATGTGTGCGTGTAGGAAATTAATGTTATTGGATGTTCACCAAATTTCACCCTAAATACTAAGGGGGAAAGCAAAAGGCATATATGACATTCGGAGATATAAGAGCAAGTTTAAAAGGATTGAATAATAAAACAAAAAATAAAATAAAATTTGACCCAGACAGCATTGAATAATGCAACAAGAAAATGAGATTAAGAAAATGCTTATTTCATTATAATGAGTATAAGTCATAATATTAAAACCTAAACCTAACATTGTATTTAGAAAATCACAAGCAAAACCCAACCCTTTTAACCAACAGGCCAGTGGCTAAGTAGTACCAAGCCCTACTTCCCAAAGGGAGGTCAGGGGTTCGAGCCTCCGTGGAAGCATGTGTGTGTGAGTACCAACTAAGGAAAAAAACCAAGCCCTTTTAACACAATAGGTTGATTAGCTCACAAACCAGGAAACAGGCACAAAATGGCTGTTCTTTTGAATAAATGAGTCTTTAGCAGAATTTGCAAATTGAAATGAGATCTGAAGCGCTTGAACATTAGACCACAACAAAATTTAATTATATTTGAATTTTGTACTGAATCTTTTAAGAATCACGCCTAAGATGTCTCTAAATATCAAAGATTCTAGAATCTTCTAAAGTATATGTGTGCGTGTGTGTATATATATATCATCGCAAGAAACTCACGAACACACTTTGCACCTATGGGGACTTGAACTCTTGACCTTCTACTTTGGACGGTAATGAAGTACCACTAGGCTACACTCTACAGCCTTTGGTAATCTTCTAAATCATATTCACTCCTTTAAATGTAAATGAGAAAAACTGGAATGCAACAAGCAATATGTTTTACCTCTCCCTTGCCAAGTCGAGCGCCTGTCTTTGGGTTAACAGCAACTGAACCGATGACAATTAGATCTACCTTGATCTTTTCATCCAATCCAATTGGCCTTCCATATTTGGCGGCCCCTACAGAGGTGCATGCCTCTTTGATTGTACTAGGAGTTAACATAGATGATTCAAGAACAGAGAAAAACCCCATCCTTAGACGGGGCTGAGGAGTTAATAGCTTCTTTCCATCTGCATACACATTAAAATCTCAAATAGTAAATGAAGCCATATGAAGACAGAAAAGAAAAGTTGTTACAATGTCATAGCGCTTAGGGCATATCTGATATAACCACAGAAAATAGATACATCATCATCATCATCCTTGCCTTAATCCCATAAGAATGGAGTCGGTCACATGAATTCTCTTTTTCCGTTCTATTCTATTACAAGCCATTTCTCCTCTAATATGTAACTTTTAAAAATCATTTCTAATGATTTCATCCCACGTTAATTTTGGGGGCCCTCTCTGCCTCCTACCCTCTACGCAAATTAACCTTCCTCTTCTCACCCGAGCATCTATAGATCTTCTATGTATATGTCTATACCCCTAAGTCTACCCTCTCCAATCTTATCACTATAGGAAGTGATACATGAATTCTGTAAAAACAATAAAACATGCGGGTTCAATATTCACCGGCAAAACTCATCATTCTTGGTACCTCAGTTCAACTCTATTTGACACAGCAGTAAAAAACTCAAATTTCCGAGTCTAGTCAATTATGAAGAGTCCATTTCAACTATTCGTTTTCATATCCCTTCTTTTGCTCACCATTTGTCATGTTGACATGAGTGAACCTCTATCGTTCCACAGCTCTAATAGAAATCTCTTTAACAATGGATAAATTGACAACTATAGAAACCCCATGGGATCTAAAGTTTATTACCACATTAAATTGTGTCTGAATAAAAATATAACCTTTTTATAGGTAATTTTTATTGTCTTACATTCCAAATAACTAGTTCCAAGCCTGTTTAAAGACGGTTCAACTGGTATTTTTTTGCAACTCTCAGTATATTGTGTATATATGAATATCTACACAAACATGTAGCTTATACACACACACAGTTGCTATTCAGAAATTGAGATGGGAATTCAAGTTCCGCCAAGTAATTGAGATATTGAGAATGAGCTTAAACACACACACACATCTTTGTGTGCGTGTGTTTAATTGTATATTTATAGGTAGTATGTGTGTGGTAATATAAATAAATAATATAATAATTGAAAAACTGACCATTGAGCGTGAGGAACCTGACTTGCTTCTGCGGCGAATCCGGATTCACCTTCACACATTTCGCCATTCGGAACACCTCCAACCCACTTAACTGTCAAAACATTCCCTAGAAAATAAGCCCAATTTTCATTCCAAACAAACAGAACCCAGAATACTCCAAATCAAATGAAGAAAGGCAGAGAAACAGAGAATCACTGTACTTTATCAGCAGCCATTGACGCGCCAAGAAAATTGGGGATCCGGTGGTGAACGGGCCGAGGGAATTGGGCTATGTTCTGCGCCTCCATCAAGTCCCAAACCCCCTTTCGGATCACCCATTTCCACGCTTTCGGGTCGTCCTCGTCGCCGACCTCTTTCTCCGAAGTCTCTGCCATCGATTCTCGTGCCTTGGCGTCGAGTCTGAACCGCTCGGCCTCGTAAGCCGACTCGTCGAATACGACGCCGTCTCTGGTGCTCCCACTCTCCACCTTGACTGTCTTCTGAGAATTCTTCGGGCTGCAGTTGTTGTTGCTGTACGTACTTGGATTTCTAGAGAGAGAAAATGAGGAGAGAGAAAAGGGTTTGTTGTGGATTTTGGTAATGGGGGAGTGTTTTGCTACTGCAAATGCTGTTGAAATTCGAATTGCACTCGCGTCCATGGACACAAACTCAATTTTCGGATTTATATACAACGTTCGAGCTTCAAGTAAGTGTGTCGATTTTGCTTATGTAATAAGAGAGAGTGGTGAGATAATAAGACACGTGTTCATGTACTCGTGTTTATCTAAATTTGTACAAAAGTATAAAAAATTTAGGTACATTTATAATCAGTTTATATATGTACAGATATAGACATAATATAAAGTAATTGGTCAGATAGAGAAATTTGTCTGACAAATTTTTATCTCTTTAAAAAATAATAATACAGACAAAATCTCAATATAAAAGGTGAAATTATATAATTAATTAGTAACTCGTATGAATAATTATAATTCGAAATATTTAGTTAAGAGCCAAATAGCTTGTAACTTCTTAATAAATTTTAAAAATAAAGATTAGAACACAAGAGTTTATAATTTTCATCTAAATACTGCTACTTACCTAGAAATGCAAAGTTTAGATAAATGTTGAAATTTAGATTTTTAAGTGATTAAACATAATTGTAAATCTTGTTAAGTTAACAGCATAAAATATTACAGTAAATTACAAAATTTGAAATATTAACCAACCTGCAAGCTCGTTATCATAATAGTTTGAAACAAACAAAAATCTAAAATAATTAAAATAATAAGTTAATTCAAAATTTATCATAGTTGAGTTCACATGAAATTCTCATAATCATAATAGTTTGAGAAAAAAAAAATTCGAACAAAAATAATTAAAAATTAAAGATAATAACTTGATTCAAAAAAAATCTGTCATAGTCATTTGACTTTCACGGAAAATATTTTCTTTTTTCAAGCAAAATATTCTTCTTTGTTTTTATTCTTTGGTGTTTGGCAAGTGTTTAGGTTAATGTTGAGATAGAGTCCATCGGGTGAGACATGTAAAATATCTTATTGAAAATTAATAAATAAGTTATTTTTATTAAATTTTAATAATTTTTTTTTCGTAAATATTTTAAGACAACTAAATACAAAAAATATTTTCTGAAAAATATTTTACGTTCAAACAAACGGAGCCTTAATTGTAATGCAAAATTTTTGGAAGATGACTTAAAATTTTATCAAATAACTAAAAAGACATGTGAGCAATGTTTTGTATTGGTTAATTTTAGGGTTAATTACAACGACACCCCTGAAGTTTGACATATTAACAATCATATACAATTTAATCCTTTTTTGAATAAAGACACCCCCTGTCCCTGTTATGATTTTAATCCAAACAAGCCCTTAAAATGATGAAAAAGACGAGATTGCCCTTCAATATTTAATTATTTTTATAATAAAATATCATAACTCATGAAAAGTCAAATTTGCCCTTATATATATATACTATTACATCTGCTCGGAAGAATAGCGGCGGGCACCATCACCACCCACCTATGATCCAGCACCGTCGCCTCCCATCTACAGTCCAGCACCACCGTAACTTCCACCCTCTTTCCACTGCAACGTCCACCACCTCTCTCCACTTCCACAATCTCACTGCCCTCCCCAACCACATCTGCCAGAGGCAAAGAACAACCATGGATCCAGAAGGTAAAGAAGACGTTCACCATACGAAATTCTTAATTTCTCTTGAGATGGAAGATTGGTTTGGGGCAAATGAAGTTCGCATTCGGCGATGAAAGATTAGGATTCTTAACATGTAGATCGGAAGCTCAGATTAGCGAGGGGGTCTGGATTTGCCATAGCTCGGTGTCAGGCAAAAGAAGCAAGAGATATAGATCCATAAATAACTCATCATGGAAAAAAAAATTTAAGAGATGCGCTGTTCTGTCTGACCTGCGATTCCTCTTAAAACTATATGCAAAGAAAAAGCACATACGCAAGACGATTCCACCCGAATTTGAGAGATAGCTCCTAGTGGCAGCAATACATATACATGTATGTATAACTTCAATTCTTCTTCATGTTTTTTGTATGTTTTTTGTTGTCTGAGAATCAAATTATATGATATGACATAGGAAGTGATAATTATTTCCCCAGTTGATCGAAGTTGAAATTACCGAGCGCTTTTTGTAGTTCTCTTTTTGAGAATCTAAGCCAGGATTCTGATCCATCTCCGTACATATATTATAAATTACTTTCCGAAAAAAAAAAAAAAAAAAAGTGAGAGAGAGAAAAATGGAGGAATAAAATCTTGATATTGATTGAAGGACAAAAGCGCCACTTCAGACAAATAGAGAATACAACCTTAATATTGATTGAAGAGCAAATTGGTAATTGAATGTGTCAAGGGACAATAATGCTAATTCACTATGGGTAAGGACAATTCGGGTGTCTTTGCTAACTTTAGCAAACTTCGGGGGCGTCATCGTTAAAAAATGGTTCAATTTGTATATAGCTGTCATTATAGTAAACCTCAGGGGCTGTCATTGTAATTAACCCTTAATTTTAATGTCAAAACTTGCCCGATCGAGTTGTAATTTTGAGCAATCAAAACTCCATCTGCATTATGGACAAGTCCTAATGCACTTAGGGTCCGTTTGGCATGAGTTATGATATTATTTTTTTAATATTGATATTCAAATTTGTGCCCATATTATATTTGAGACAGCTAATATTAGTTTGGAATAGTTCACAACATATCAGATATTTTGTCAAAACCCAAATCACCAAATTGGTGATATTGTGTGTTTTAATATTGTAGCGAGGAAACTAAAACAAATTTTCGGTACTAAATATGATTCCGATTTATATCCAAAACACTCCTACAACAAAACGATTCATTTAAAATACACCTAAAACACATCGCATGCCAATTAAAATTCAGTGTTAGACCAAAAATGAGTTTTTTGGGAGGCCTATCCGGTGAAATTGCAAGTACGTAACAGTTAGTTTCTTTCTATTTGGTGCATTGCTTTGTCTTGGGAACTACGAACAATCAAACCACCACTATACCACACTTGTTTTTAGAACTCAAAACAGTTTGTAGAGAATTAAAAAAATAAAATAAAATCTCTAAAATTCAATCTTTTTTCTTTTACGAGTGTGCTTTCACCTGAAGAAAAAAAAAATATATATATATATATATCAATTAAACAAATTTTCAAGCTGTTCAACGTTATATTTATGCAAATACAAAACTTACGCCAAACAAACCTTCACAACTTGTTACACGTCTACGGGGCTTTTCATATGCACCACATTCTGTCTTACTGGTTGCTCTTTGAATATTGGTTATTCAGCCGAATGAGGCACCAAATGCCAGTGCACAAAGAGCATAATTTGATGTTCTATATAAACATAGGTGTATACCAGAAACAGAATTCTCCCTAGTTCAATGGAAAGTAAGGGGGGTAGAGAGGAAGAAAATAGTCCGCGTATGTGTACACACATATACACACACAAATTGAGAAAGAGACAGAGGCAGCAGCCGAAGAAGAAGAAGAATATATATATATATATATATATATATATATTGAGAGAGAGAGATTGAGAGGCGGGAGCGGAGGAGGAGGAAGCAGCAGCAGAAGAAACAAAACACAAATGGCAAAACTGGAGTTGCAATATTTTACACAATACACATAAAGAAAGAAGATACAGATCTCTCAATCACAAGGAAACACAACATTCCCTCTCCCTTCTACTCTCCAAAACCAGTATATCCGGTGAAAAGTGGTTCTGAAAACAAGAAAAAGTTCCAAAAGGTGAAGCCAGCCCTAGTAGATATATACAATACATCAAAAATACGGAAAAGGATCACTTGTGACGGATCATACCCTCTCTAGGAATCTACAAAACCAGTGTCTCCACAGATAATAGTTCTCAGGTGTTTAAGAAAACAAAATACAATGTTAAAACCAAAAAAAGTCGAGGAGAGAACTCCGGTGCTACAAAACCCATTAAATTACAGTTCCAATATATGAGATAAAACAGTAGAGAGCGTACCACGAAAGTATCCTTTTGTATATGGCTTGTTACCTTTGGTACCCCATCAGTGATGGCGTATTACCCTTGGTACCCTATTAATGTGAGGGTTCTTAAATGGTTTGCAACTGCGAAAAGGAAATTCGGATCATTGAACCACCAAGGGAAGTAGCATGCTTGAACACAAGGGCTTCAGTGGCCTGCTCCTCGGTGTCAAACAGGACAAGCGCCTGCTTCTTACCATTCATCTCAAAGAGCTTGGTGTTGACAATGGTGCCATGTTCCTCAAGGTGGGACACAATCTCCTCCTCTGTAACATCCTGGGGAAGGGTGGAGAGGTGGATCATCTTGGTTGGAGAGCAGCAGTAGCGGTAATTCTTTGCAGCATTACGATTAAAGCGGTTAAGATTCGAGTTCATGTACTCATGTGTATCAGCACCTGTAGTAATGTTCGGATGCTTTGAGAAGTTCACTTCCAAATGCTTTCCAAACAGCATGGCTCCCTGTAACCAAAGATCAGAAAGTTTTGGTATCTACTATCCAATGACAAAGCCGTCGTGAAAGAGGCAATATTCGAAGCATCAAATAATTGAAGTCAATGCAGTGAACTAAATAGAACCCATGTTGCAAAAAAGTAGGATCGGCTACAATGATCACGTTTCAACATGCCCATGCTCTATTAATGCCATAAAATGCCCTCGCCTTGCCCAAAATTCCCGGTATTCGTGTTCATATGGATTCACAAAGGTTTTGCATAGCTGCCAACTACAAAGTGAACTCAATTCATGTAGTAGTACTAATTAACTACTGTTCAGTGGTTTCAAGGGTTCAACCAACAATAACCAAAATAGGCCATGAAATTCAATAGAATAACCAAATCAGAATAAAAACTCCAGACCCAACACCATAAAAGCCTATGAAAAGTAACAAGAGAAGGTTGTGCTTTGCATGGTAAACATATCCATCCTATTTCTGTTGACATCTTCAATAGGCCAGAGGGTCCATGTACATGAACCCGGATCCTCTCCATGCACTGGGTAGGGTGGAGATCAGCCCAGAGGGTTGGAGTCCACTCTGCCGGTGAAGTCCACACCCCCTATGGGATGATCTCCACCCTCCCCATGGACATATCCCTCCGTATCCTCAATAGATGATAACAATGACTGGTACATGCCAGCAAGCATAACAAGCTTCAAGACAATTTAATTATGTGGTGGATTATGGACTGATCTAAGAGGCCCGACACCACCATCATCAGAAAAAGAAGAAGGTATTGTTGGTTTATTGAAGGATAAAACAATGGGAAAGCTTCTTTTCATAGTTTAAGTGGCACTAAATGGTTTAATCCTAAAATTTAGCTAATTGAAACTGATAGTGGATTTAATAAGATTATGAATGAGATCGCATCAGATAATACAGAGACATTTTCTATATGCAGGCAATATAAATGAAATTATATATACCATGATGAAAAACTAGGAGCACAAAACAGATAACCCGCATCCATGCCAAATTGATAGGAATAAATTTTGAGATCACGCTTGTTAAGAAGAAACTATGGAAGTGCTAGAATTAGTACATATCTTGTTCAAGTTTGATTGGAAAAATTAAGACAAGCAATAGCAACTAGTCAACTACGCACACACGGCCCACTAGATCATGACAAATTATGGTTGTCAAAATATACTTGGACAAAATAAAGAAACAGAACTGGGTTAATCAGTGTCATCAAGCAATAAACTCGCACAAGAAGAAACTCATTTTTTCATTGCCAGCTTGCCCTCACAATTCAATAAGAAACTGACAATTATCATAAAATCAAGTATATTGATTACAACAATAAGCTAAAAAGAATCTTATAAAGATTGAAGGAAACAAACCTTCAGAAAATGTACTGCCAGTTCAGCCTGAAAACCATCACCCATCTGAACTAATGCATGGTCTGGTTTATTGCGGAGAAGTTTGATTCTCACAATATTTCCATAAAGCGAGAAAAGATTGAAAAGCTTGTCCTCATCTATTCTCTAAGATGCAAAGTGTTATCAACGTGAAGGGTGGGAGAGGAATAAAACTTTAGATTAGATAATGGGCATTGGTCATCCACAGACCCCAAAAAAATTGAATACAAAAAAAATAATACGGAGTAATAATAATAAAATAAAAATAAAAAACTGAAATGACACAGAGAGAGGGAGAGAGCTTACATCGGGATTTAGATTGGATACAAGTACAGTGCATCTGTCATTTGTCCCACTTATTCCAGGAGGCAAACTTCCTCCAAAGGCAGCCGCGACTGCAGCAGCATTGCCCATCTAAAATTTAAGAAAACCAAATAAAATCCAACTACTTGAAGGTCTTGGCAGTTCTTTCACAAATAAATAGAAGACAAATTAGAACCAAAATATTTGAGTAAATTATGATTTATAGAGATTGTTAGGTCAACTTAGGTTGGCATATTTCGTGGACCAAAACTAGTCTGTAATTTTGTTTTATTTATTAGAGTTGGAATTTTAAAAGTTAGTGTCAAATTAGTTACCTCTTGGTCATGGTCAAAGATGGAATTTAAGCTTCAACGAATCCAGAATGGTAATCTTCAATACTAAGGGCACAAAGGTAAATTGACACCACCATATGCACTCACCGTATTAGGGTTCGTGCATTCATATATTAGGGTTTCATGATTACATGTTTTGATTTTAGAAAAGCTTAATTAAATTGGATAAAACTGTTTTGGGGAACTTGCTAAATTTGAAAATAGTGCACAGGGCACTTCGATTAATCGATTGATCGACATTAATCGAAGGCTACTGGTTGCATGCCGATTAATTGACATTAATTATCGATTGATCAAGCCATCTGAAACAGCAGTTTCCTTTTAGGTTTGAAACAAAAACTGAGTGCATATATAATTTTCTTTTAGCATTCATCAATTATATTGCATTAGATTAGTGAGTGTAACATATGAATGTTGATATCTAAATTGTTACAGAGCAATATTTAAGAGTTCAACACCAACAAACTATCAAACAACCGAGATTGGAGCGGATGACTAGTCTAGAGATTAGAATTTCTATTGAAGAAGCACATCTTTGAGGAGTGAAGTCTGTTACGGAAACTTAATTGGAGGTCTTGGTGAATCAGCCTGTGTCAAGGGGTAACTGTGAATTCTGGGTATGGGAAATTTAAGCTAATGTAAATATCTCTTCTGGTAGTGGATTTTTAATCTGACTAAACTAGGTCTCGTGGTTTTTCCCATTTGGATTTTCCACGTAAAAGTCTTAGTGTCAATTGTTCATGCTTTACATTGCTTTACCTTAGTTCTGATTGAATGATTGCTATAATAAGCATGAGGGATTGATTGGAATTTAATAATTTGATTTAAATTAAATTTGATTTTTTGGTAAATTATGTAAAATTCAAAAAGTAGTTTAAATTAGTTAAAGCAATCACCAATACCTATTTGACTCCCTCTACTTCTAAATCGTGGACCTTGTGCTAACTTTCTATCGGATCCTAGGGTTTCAGTCCTTGCCCCCATCTCAAAGACCAAAAATAGAACATCATGGCACTACAAGAAGCCGAATGAAGATCAATTCAGTGCCAACCATTTAACAAATCCCATGCACTAGAAATCTCCTAGTCATAACTTTTGCTCCCAATGATGCAAGATATTAAATGATCTAGAGGCCCCTTGTGCTCTTTATAAAACCTCTATGGGTGCAGTACCCATCAACAGAGCCAGCTGCCAGCAGCAGGCCTACAAGATGGGATTCTTGAGAATGATCGACACCAATCAGGCAATCATAGTACATGTATATCTCATTTCAAGAGCTGTTTCATAACAAGGGAGAAGGTTCAACTTGTTGACATCAATTATTTCCTCAAAGATGCAAGAAGAAGACAAATTCCCAACTCTTAAGAAAAGCATCTCAGATGGCGCTATAACATGACCAGAGCAATACCCACCTGTGGAAATCCAACTAAAACATAGAAAAAACAGTACACACATGAGAAAGTTATAGAATAGCCCAAATAAATGAATAAATACAAGAAAAAAATGAAACAAAGGCAGCAGATAAATATGCAATTGCCAAATTAAGCACCTGCTCGGGCTCCAGAAGCTTGAAGGCCATACATGCCACCTGCGTCTCCATATCCAGGCTGGTACGCAACAGAATGGATTTAAATTAAATATCCGAAGGCACAACAGGTAGCAAGTTATACAATATAGTGTCTATAATTCAAAAATAGCAGTAAACAATGGACATACTTGGGAGGACCTGCCCTTCTGTTCTGAAGGCAAAGATGGGTTTGTGAAATCCCTACCAAAGAAAGAAAGAAAAAAATGCCACATATCAAGATGATGCCACCAAATATAGTTGAAGGCAGCTAGCCAAAGAGATCAAAAATTTCACAAGCAAATATATAAGTATACAAAGTTCAAAAATCATGAAGCTATTAATCCACCTTGACCGCTCATTATTGAAGTTCACTTGTAACTCATCGAGGCTGTATTGTAAAGAAGTATGATTAATACAATATCCACAATAGCATGTAGAAAATAATTGAGAAACAGAAAATTTTCAAAGATGTTTGGAACCTACTTTGAAAACTGAATGTCCAGCTGACAGCAACCATCATATATATTACGACCCTACAAAGATGTTGCCAAGTGTTAAACTTCTTTTTAGAAGCCAACCAGGAAGCAAACCTCAGATAGGCCTTCCTTTCAAAATTCAAGTTAATTTGTGGAATACAATATAAACTACACACCTGGAGAGAGTTTCTAGCTGAAACAGCACTTTGGCGTAATTGATACTGAATAAGGGCTTGAAAACCTATACATTCCAAATATATGGGTCAAATAAAGCACAGAACTTTGCGAGTATGCATCTTCGTGAAATTTAAAGGTAAAAAAAGGTCCCCAAAACACTGCCAGCACAGTTCAAGGAATGGAAATATATGGACATTTCACCTCCAAAAATAATAAACCAGAAAATTTTGACAAGCAGATCATGAAAACATATAATATTTAATCCTGAAAAAACCTAATGACAAACACATCCAGCTATGCTCATAAGTCAGAATGAGAGAAGAAATTAAGAAATAGCGAGAATGTGATAAGAGAGAGAAAACTTGAAGAAGCTGACCAGCTGACTTCTGGAATGTGACGATCTTCTCCACAAATCCTTGAGGAGAAAAAACTTGATGCAGCACTTCCACAGTTATAGGATATAGCATGTGATGAATTGTAACTAAGAGAATTCGATTAGGCTGTGTACCCAGAGAATGCCCGACAGCAGAGACCAGCATAGAGACAGGAGAGAGAATAGAATAGAATAAATAGAGAAGAATATATAGAGAAAATGATAAAGAAACAAAAATAATATATTAAATGAAATAATAATATAACAAGCAAGAAAGAAAGAAAGAAAGACAGAACGACTGTTATAAAGAAGGTAGAGAAAGAACAGTAAATCTTATTAATCAATGTGTACAGAGATTTCATGGATGATCTTACTCTTATGTCACACCACTAAATTGTTATACCAAAACTATGCATAACTAGCATCTGATTGATATGCACTGCACCAACAGTATTTAGAAGTAAAAAGAAAATAGGCTATTTTTCTCTATGCCTAAATCCCAGTAGCAAAAACACAAAATAGCAAGTAATAAATGTAAATCAGGAGGAGAAAAACAATTTGAGGACCTCAAAGGACAAAAGAAATTAATTTAAACATGAGAAACCTAAACAATAAGAGAACCACCAAGTTTTACAGAGTGTCCTAACTCCTAATATTATTGCTGCAAATCAATCCATTTGTCTGTCCAACACTCCATTAAATCAAGGGATTTTCTGTACAGTTGAGATTTAGAGCGAGCAATAAAACAATTATCATTTGAAATTAAGTTCTATGGAAAATTGAAGTTTTATGAGAAGCACACCACAATGTATGTATCAAGCTAACAAGTTAATACATGAAAAATATTTTTTCCCAAAAGAATACGCCTTCACTAGTGCACCCAGTACACATAGGAGAGACAGTAAAACATCAATATCACAGTGACAATGAGCATTACTAATACCTACTTTATAAGAATTTTCAATACAAAAATAGCAGGTATTAGACTGATAGCAGTCACTTAGTGCAATATGATGCTAAAGGTATCTATATATCCGGCCTTCACTGGGTAATGCCCTTTACAATAGAAGTATGACCAGTTTTAGAATGGAATAGTAACAAAATTAAACAAACTAGTGATGCAAAAATTGTTATTTGACAATTAGATAATATTTTGGCCAAAAAAAAAATACGAGATGTTTGGCGTGAAACTGATTTTTAAGGAAAACACTGTTTCCTCTAAAAACTGAACAACAACCAAAAAAAACCAGAAGCATGCAAGTTGCCAATAAAGTCCATTGAATAAAATATTATATTGTAGAGAAATAGTACATAGAAATATGGATGCAATTCAACCCAGTTTGCTGGGTCCCTGCACCTAGTGCAACGGGTTTAGGATACTCTTCTTCTTTTTTATAAGTAACAGGTTATCTATATATCCAGACTTCATTGGGTATTGCCCTTTCCAATAGAAGTATAACCAGTTTTAGAATGGAATGGTAACAAAATTAATCAAACTAGTGATGCAAAAAATGTTATTTGACAATTAGATAATATTTGGCCAAAAAACAAAAAATACGAGACGTTTGGCATGAAACTGAATTTAAGGAAAACACTGTTTCCTCTAAAAACCGAACGGCAACCAAAAAAAACCAGAAGCATGCAAGTTGCCAATAAAGTCCATTGAATAAAATATTATATTGTAGAGAAATAGTACATAGAAATACGGATGCAATTCAACCCAGATTGCTGGGTCCCTGTCACACCCTGCACCTAGTGCAACGGGTTTAGGATACTCTTCGTTTTTTTTTTTGATAAGTAACAGGTTTAGGATACTCTTGAATGGGTTAGTGGCAGGATCAGGAGATATATGCAAGTCCATCCAAAGTTTGGGATGAATTGGGATTAGAGCCCTTATGCCATGCCCCACCCACCTTTGTTCATTATGTAGGTGTTTTACCATCATACACCTTTGTAGTTCACAAATTCATTATATACCCGAAAACTCTTCTAAAGGAAAAGTTTAGCTCCTACTATTTTAGTGCCAAGTTTAGCTTCTAATGTTTGGTTCAGGTACCGATATGGAAGCATTACTAGACCACTGCATGGAGACTACATGTTAAAGTTTCTGTTTAAAAATTTAAGAAGTATAACAAAATATAAATGAACCTTGCCCTCGTAAAAGCAATTAGCCTGCATCATGTCTGCTCAATTGTTGAAACTAAATACATTGTGCCTTTGCCTCGTGCAAGTACTCCACATTTATGCGACAACATGGAGTGAAAACTTAAAAAATGGGTTCCATCATGTTGGATAATTGATTATGTTTCCATCTATAATTTTCAGATTCTTATGATGATTTAAGATTAAAATCAAAGACCTGTCAGGTCATATAATTATTAGCTTACCCCTCCACACCACAGGTTCCGTTAAGTTTGGGATAAGAGGGGGCAAAGAAGGAGTTGCCCATCCCAAACCTGCCTTGTTACTATCCCTAAACAGAAACACAAGGGAACCTGGATTCTAATGACCATAAGAAGAATGAACAAATATTTAACCTTCTTTGGCGTTTTTAACACCTAAATACTTTGATGCAAAAGCCGCTACTAATTTAAAACATCCATCCGCTGCAATCAAGTTTCTAATAAATTAATAATTGTGGCACAGTGAGAGATACTATATATTTAATATTATTAAAATTCCTCTAATTTCCATTAGCCATAAACTTCTTCAAACTTCTTATAAAAATAATAATAAAAAAGAACATTACATGTTCTTAATAATATTTCCAACATTATCTTTAAAAATAAATAAATAGAGTAAAAAACTAGATTTGCCACATGAGGGTGACTCCTTCAAATGCTTCTTTTCTGAATATACCAATTACAACCAATTTCAAAGAAATCAAACTAGTGACTACAAATAACTGACCTCATCACCTCGTCCTTGAGCATTCTGATCCATAGTTGTTAATTCTTGATGTGATGAGAATTGAACATAAACATTTCTCCCCCTAGAGGTAACCGTCAGAAATTTGGACCATAAAATTAGATCTATAAAAATAAACAAAGAAAAGTATAGATTGTAGAGTTGGTAGCAGTTCAAATGAACCCCACTTCCAAAAAGAAAAATGAATTAATACACAGCATTTTTATCATGATACTCAAAACAGATATCCAGTACTTGTATACCATGATACCTTATGCTTGGCTGAACATTTGTGTAGAATTGCAATGCATTGACAGCTGAAGGAACGTCTTGCATTTGGAGGAGGGCCTGCAGACATGGCCGAAAAAAAAATTAGTTCATGGGTTAGCTTGGAACACTAGACAGCTCCGCTTACCCTATGGCCACAAAATAAATACCTGATTCTTAGCGCGAAGCATGACGAGCTTGGTGACAGCACCAAATGGCTGAAATAGCTGAAGCAAATCATTCTGGAAAAATAATTAAGGTGTATTAGAAGAAAAACATATAGAACAGAAGTAAGAAAAAAATGCAATCGGATAAACAGACACATATATTTACTCAAACCCAAACAGCAGCATCAGCAACATGCTCAATTCATACCATTCTTTTTTCCACAAAAAAGGATTGTTGGACGCAACATCTTCAACATGTTAATTCAATAATAGACATTTTTCATTCTCTAAAAGATTGTTGGACACACCTTTGTAGTAGATTTTATTCTCTTCTTTGTTTCACTTTTGCACGTATTTACATCCACCTTGACTACATATATGACAAAGTTAAATTGTTTGTGTCCATTTTTGTGCATAAATATGTCACTAATAATTAGATTTATTTTTGTGTGTAACTAATAAGTTACGGAATACTTTGAGTATTTGAATAATCTTATACTGGATTATTTCCTATATTAAGAATATTAAGACATCTGTTGTAAAGAAAATAGACCATAGCTTATGGATTTTTATTTTTTTTCTTCTTTTTTTCCGTATTTTACTAGTACGACCTCCCAACTTAAAATTCCCGGGTCCACCCCTGAGCATAAAGGTTTCACTGGTAAACTAGAAAAGCAGAAAAAAAAACCCATCTACATATAAATTTATACAGAGGAAGGTAGGAGGGTATACCTCAGAGATTTCGTGTCCCACGTTACGGACATGAATGACCTTGGAAGGCTCTGTCATTTTTCACAACCCTGAATCCATCCCAATATTGAGAAGCTCAGATTGTACGGACAATATAACATCCAAACAATTTCAATTGAAAGTGATGCAATGGCACTGTACAGGAATGCGTGTAAATACAGACCGTGTGCAGAAAACAAATAATGTTTTGAAATTTTAGAAATGCTTGCAAAAATTAAGGGACACAATGAAAAAAGTTAAAAACTTTATTCAATCAGAACAGCATAGACAAATTCTTTCAAAAATGAAATCCACTAAATATATATATATATATATATATATATATCAAACTAAAAAATGAAACTTCTTTTCTGGAATCACTTGCAGCATCCCAAAACAAATAAAATAAATAAATAGAATAATCACTTAAACCAGAAATTTATACTAAATCCAGAATACGTTGCCAGCTACAAACACAGAAATATCCAAACAATAATAAACGGATAAAATAATCAACTTGATGATTTTGAACCTGAAACCCTAGATTTTCACTTATGGTGAACGGGGAGCCGAAAATCGATGAGAGAGAAGTAAAACCTGAAGAAGCAGCCAGTAATTGCCTGACGAGAGAGAGAGTACCTATTCCACCCCCATCGAATGTATATACTGACTTTTTTGTTTTGATCCTGTTACAACAAAAATCCGACCCGACTTTAACAAACTGTTTCAACTTTCAACAATAATCCGACCCGATTTAAACGAATCCGATCATGAGTGAATTAAACTTGAATTATGTAAAGAACGATGTTATTAAGAGGTCTCTCAATAACAGAGTAATTAAAAACAAAAATTCATTAATCATTCGATTATCTTTATTGATTATTGATATCATTCGTTGATGTAAATGAATTACTTATGATATATAGCTTCAGCATTTCAATAGAAATGCTGGGCTTCTGAAAAGCATTTTCTTAATGGCCCCCAAAATTTTTCGGAATTTTTTTGCTATCTTAATTAATTTGTAAATTTTAAAATTTATTATTGGCCCCCCTAATATTTTTAACACATATATTAACCAGTCAATTTTTTTGAAAATTTTATTAATAGCCCCAAAATATTAAATAATTTGTAAATTTTGTCCCTAAAATTAATTGAAATTTTCAATTGGCCCTCCAATATTTGACACAAATTAAATAGTTTGAAAATAAATTTATTTTGTGTCTCCTTGAAATTTAAATATTTTTTAACTTACACTCTTTTAACTATACTTTTAAAAGCTCAAATGTTATGAAACAGTATTTTTTTTTTTGGTAAATAATTATTATAGTCGTTATCTCAATACATTATTATCATGTTTGGTAAAAACGTATGACGCATTTTTTGTCAAACATTTTTGTAAAATAGTATTTACAAGAAAAATATCTAAAATTATATAACAATCTTTATTGGCAAATCCTAGTAATATTTGTAAAGAAGATAAACTAAAGTATTGTGAGACTCTCAATAATAATAATAATATCATCTATATACTTTTCGTTATTCTTTTCTAAATAACAAATTTTATAACTATTTGTATCTTGTTCAATAACTCAATAATAATCTTATTGAAATTTTATTTTATTTTATTTTGGTTAAAAATTGAGTTAAAATTCATTATGTTGTTTAATTGTGGAATCTACTTAATTTTCTTCTTCCAAAAATTAGATTTTTGAAAATTTAAAACAATTGATAAAGAAATTTTGATTTTCTAACAATGCTTTACATTCTTCTCCATAATTTTCTTCTAACATCAATATTTAATTTTTTTTTTTTTTTTTGTTGTCCAAGTTGTATTTTTTTATTTTTAAATTTTCTCAAGATATATATACTATGACGAGTATTTAAAAATAAATTATATTACAGTTAATTTATAAGTTTTAAAATTTTTGTTACATAGTTCGAATCTGCCACGCCCCTAAATTTCTGGCTCCGCCCTTGAATACGGGACACAATAGTTGATCAATGATACAAAATAGAGTATATATGAGGTGATGTCCACTTAATAAAATACAACATATGACCTATTATCCATTATTATCAGTAATTTTTCTCCAACACCTCCGTTCACTTGTCCAATTTCTTTTTTCTCTCTACTTTCTCTCTCTGTCTCTTGCCCTAATTTCATTCTTACAGACCTCTTTCTTACCCTAGATTGGAAAAAATTTCTTTAGATATTAACTTTTTTAGTTAAATTTTTTATTGATGATAAATGTTTTTTGAAGAAAATAATATAAATTTATTCTATTTCAATTTTTACATAGGTCCAACCAAACGTGAATGGAAATCATCATTTCATTTTTACGTATTCCATGTTTGTAACCAAACAAGAGAATGGGAATCATCATTTCCATTCCATTCCTAGTTTTCATTCCCATTACATTCCATTTCATTCACGCACACCAAACTAGCCCTAAAGGAAATGATATGGAGGAATAAGGTTGATTGTGTTTGGATGGGTTAAAATGAGAGAAAAGAAATGATAGAGAGAGATAAGGAGGGATTCCTCCGTAATGAGAAGATTTTTTATTTTATTTTTTTAACCTAAAAATGAAAAAATAACAAGGGAAATGATAGTGTTTTAGTACTCCTAATATTTTCATAATTTTGAACTAGTCTCAACAATTAAAAAGAAGAAATTGTTATTTCACTCGGGTCCCATTTATTTAGAGGGGTATAATAGTAATTTAGTTATTATCTTCTTCTTTTTTCTCCCATTTATCTTATCTAAACAAAAATACTATCAATTTTTTTTTCTACATATCCAAATATTAATAGAGATTATTAATATATATATATATATATATATATATATATATATATATATATATATATATATTTTCACTCATAACTAATACTATCATTTTTTTATTTTTTTTTATTTTATCTGAATAGAGCCTAAGTAGGTATGACAACTTTTATTGGTAGCCATATCAATGACATGATGTGCGTATCTAATATCTTCACTACCAAATGAGCATAAAAACAATACTATTAAGATTATATATATTTAGAAAAAATTTATGATTAACCAATAAAAATGAGTCTAGAAAAGGAATGATATGCATTATAACAAGTGAGAGGAATTTTAGTATAGTAACGCACAAGTCTATGAGATGGCTACCTAGTTCTCAAAATAAATAAATATGGGAATAAAATTTACATTAAATTCAATCTAAATTTATAACAAAGAATAGTGATACTCATATCGAATACTTCAGTGAATTGTCTAATTGGCTAACCGAACACTTGCAACTCTATTTCCTTATTTATTACATAATTGACCAATTAAAAAAATTAGCTTAACAATTTAGTGTAACTATTCGGTGTAATAATCATTTTCCTATAATAAATGAATGAAACCTATAAACTAAATTAAGTGAGATAATCTAATTAGTCATATTTAAGGGTAGCAAAATTCGATATAATATGATTCGAACACTACACAAAGTCGGTACGTTTTGAGTTGATTTCAATTGTGTCTATGTTATAATCGCGGGAACATGCTTAATTAATCATGTCGTGTTTGTGTTTTGAAACTTAACCTGTTTAAACTCAATTAGACATGTTTAATTAATCGTGTTAAGTCAATCGTAAACTGTTTTGACCAATTTATTGTGAACATTTTAATTATTTCCAATATAAATCTGTATTTGACAATTTTTTGTAATATATTATCTTAGTTATATATTTGCATTTTATACACTTAAGTTAATAATCGAGATACATGACCTATTTAAGTCAAACGATTAAACATATTATTAAACGAGTCGTGACATTTCATAACTTGTTTATTAAATGAGTTAAATGGGTCGTGTCATGTTTCCTATTTAATAAATGGGTCGTATTTGTGTCGGAGGTCCGGATATAATTATTAAACAAGTCATATTCTAATTGACGTGTTTAAAAAAATATTCATAGATCCATAAAATATGATTATAACGCGCCAACACAAATTGCCACCCGGGTGATTCATATTCTTACGAAATCTTTGTATTAAATCTTATATATATGGAGATTTTTCAGTAAATGTCATCTTTGTGAAGCTATAGACACAACCCCTAAAGTAATTGAGAGGACCTAGCATGGATATACCCTTAAATTGAAAGTTTTTTTTTTTTTTTTTTTTTGAAGTGAAATTAAAAGTTAAAGATCCACAAAATGTGTAAGTTTGTTATTTGCCAAGATAACAATAAATATTAGAGTATATTTTATAAAATTTCATAAATAAGTTAAATAACACATTTATATTGTTATCTTGCATGTTAGTATTTGTAATTTATATGTTATAACCTTTAAATTATATAGTTAGCGTTCGGTTCATATGGAATTCGAATCTATAAATATTATTAAATTGAGAGTTCAATTATCATATTCATATTTGAATTTAATCTCTTTTTTATATAGTAAAAGAAATTGAATTTTACCTAGCCTTTGACGTGTTTTATTCATCATAGAAGTGAGACCCTTTGGTATTTCTTAGGCCAAATTTATGTTTTTTTTAACAAGGCAACTCATTGTTGTTCCATTCATTACCTAATAATTTATGATCACAAAGAATATACATAGGAATGGCAATGGGTGGGTTAGGGCAGGGAATGCCAATTCCATCCCCATCCCCATTTAGCATAACTTCCCGATTATCGTCTAAAATAATTATTATGGGACGAGTTAAGAAGAGTCTTGTAATTGTTTTACAAATTTAACAAATGTAAATATTGAAATAAATTTTCAACCATGTAATAAATTTTTTTCTCTTGTGGTGATAAGATCAATATCCAAAATCTCAATTTCAACTTGAGATTTACTATTATTGTAGAAATATCAAAATAATACATAAATGTTTTCAAATAAAAATAATACAAAAGGACATTCCAAAAAATAATAATAATAGAGAATGATATCAAGTGATTGGAATAATATATCATAAGGTTTACCTAATATATACCTAATATTTTTTAATATAAAAATAAATTATATAAATAAAATTGTAATTCATTATTATAAATGGGGTAGGGTATCCACTCGGAAATGAATCAATGGAGTCCCGCACGATATGGCTTCGAGATAATTTTGTTACTGCATTAGAAATCTCGTTGTCATGTTTATCTACATGACTAATTCGAACCGAGAAAAAATCTTGAAGCATTTGCCTTGAATAATATCAAACTTGATGGCTTCCATATCTACAGGATTTTACTCCGGGATCGCCACAGCCTTACAAACCACCATAGAATCACTTTCAAACCAATAGGAAGCTATATGTAAGTGCTTAGCCCAAAGGATAGCTCTTTGAAAACATTTAGCTTCAGCAGTAGTAGCATTTAGCGAGTGAAAAGGGGAGAAAACAATCATGTGTTGGATGTTCCCATCTGAATCACGAAACACAATACCACTTCCACCAATGGTCACCAACGGGGAAAAAGAACCATCAAAGTTGCATTTGATTTCCCCTAGTTTAGGTGGTAACCATCGAGATGTAGAGAGAACATGACTCGACTTACCCAACCTACTATCTTCTCCAAAACGAGGGGGGACCCAATAACGTTCATAAATTCCCTGTATTGAGCATATACACAAGTATTTTTAACGATAAAA